AAGGATACATTTCCAAAGGCCTGTGGGCTATGTTACAGGTCTTTAGAGTAAGAGTGAAAGGCAACCCCTGCAAGATTTTACAGGGTGAATGGGTTAAGGGTAAGAATGCATTCTGAAAACTGCGCTGCAGCTGGCAGACTAGAGACAGATTTAGAGGCAGCGAGAACAGCAGAGAAGAGTCAAGCTGGAGGTGACTGTTGTCAGGGAAAGAGGGTGATGGCTTGGGCTAGGGTTGTGGTGGAAGAGAGGAGAAGTGGGTGGACTCCAGAACAATTTAAGAGGTGAAGTCACAGAGCCTGCTGATGGGTTAGATGTGAGGGTGCGGGAAAGAGAGGTGCCGAGGGAAACACATGGCGGCAGAGCTGGGTGGACGGTGGCGCATTCACTGGCACGAGAAGCCTGCCACCTTCCTAATAAGCCCGCCAACACCTCCTCTACCTGCCTGTCAGCAGCTAACTAATGTCAAGTGGTAACCACCACCCCCACCCGCTGTGCTGCTCACATCGAATTCTTCTGCCAGTCATACAGGCAAAATTTCTGTTTTGCAGATCAGTTTTGCCATGAAAGTCATTTTCATTTTCATGAAATAAGGCTTTTAAACATAATTAATTAATTGAATCTTTCATTTGGCATCATGGAAACAGTACAGTGTGACAGAATGAGGCACCTCTTTAATGGTTGAAGGCAAATTAGAAAAGAAGAGGATTTAAGAGGTAAACGGGGCCAAATGAAAGCCGACGACCTGACAGCGCGTCACGCACACAAAGGTTTCACAGCACCTTTGGTAGAGCACGGCAGTGGGTCAGTTCGTGGGCGCAGCACACAGTAGTGTGGTCACATTACATGTCATGTCGCACATTCACTTTATGAAGAGATCTATTACACACTTCCCATCTTTGTAGTAGCAACTTCCCAAGCTCATTGGCAGCAGGGCAATAGTTAGAATGAAATAAAGAATTGCTTTAAAATTATTTTGAGGTGCTTATTTTCAGAAGCACTGTCAAATTGACCCAAAACATAACAAATAGGTGTTAAAAAGTTAGTCCCTTGTTAAAAAGGGGGAAATAATTTAGAACAATTATCTAATTTTAGCAAAATAATATTATCCACCACATTAAATTCATGTTGTGTTGATTCTGTAGTCTTGGATGCACATAATTTGTACATTAATTTTAATTTTATAGTGGTGTAAGAGCTATAAGCATTTATACATGGTTTCATGAAAGCACATATTTAAGTAATCTTATAAATAATTTAAGTAAACATCAGGGCTTTAGGAGAATTATTCCCCTTCAAAGAGGTCTGAACCTTGGGCAGGTTTGGGAGCCACTGGGCGCTGGACCAAACTTTGTCTGGTCTACAAGTCCTTTCGTGATCTGCCCACAGGACACCACAGCTTCGCTTCCTGCCACTCTGCTACTCAAATGTGAGGTCCTGACAACACTGTGATTTCCATGCTCACTCCAGCTGTTCCCTCCACCCAGAACAAACCACCTAAATCTACTCAGCTAACCCAACAAAGGTCAGAGCCGATAGACGTGCCTTGGAATTTTAATCCTCCCAGAATGATAATTAAGGATTCTTTACTCAACTGAATGGAATGATACAGTGTGTCTAACATCTCTAACGGTAAAGCGTGCACGGTGGGGGGCGTCTCCCTGACATTATTGAGAAGTGTGGGCTGGACACCCGCTAGGCCACAACGGGGGAGGCAATACAGCCCCACTGGGACAAAGCAGAACCCGCAGTCCAGCCCAGACGGAGCCTTCTCGCCAAAACAGGTCCAGGCATTTCCCAAGTGTCTTCTTCTCAGAGGAAGAGATAAACAACTTTGGGCTACATCAGTGATAACCTTTTTGGCATGAATGTCAGTTCAGAAAAATTTAAAATCTACGCAGGCTGCATTTATTTTTCATTCAAAATAGTTCACTTATTGAGTCCTAGGATGAAATAATTTGTATTCATTACAAGACCACCAATGAGAAAAACTGCTATTACTTTTTAGCTACTAAAATGTTACTGTCTGAGAATATTTGAGAAGTAACAATACCAAAGCATCTTTTTTTTTTTTATTATCTAATCTTTATTGCATTGTTTTTACATTACCTTTTAGTTCCCTTACACCTCCCTTCTCCCAGCAACCACCACACTGGTGTCCACGTCCATGGGTCCTCTCTCCTTTTTGCTCACTCCCTCCACCCCGTAACTTACCCCATCCCACTAGCTGTCATCCTGCGCTTCATCTGTGAGTCTGTCTCTGTCTTGCTTGTTAATTCTGTTCATTCATTAGATTCCACATATGAGTTAAATCACCTTTTTAAACTCTTATCCTAAAATTAGATCTAGGTGGATAAATGATATGTAGCTTGCAGCAGGCCATTGATCTAAAGAAAAAGAAAAGAAAACTATTACCCCTTGATTCAGACCAAGTTTATATTCCTCAGGGAGTCAGGACAGCTTGTAACTCATATTTTACTTCCTTTTGTAAAAAAATTACTTTATTGTTGTTCAATTACAGTTGTCTGCTTTTATCCCCACCCCTCCCCCCACCCCAGCCAAACCCTCCTCCCTTGCATATTTTACTTTCTATTTGCTTATAGGTTCTTATAAAATTTCAGGTTTTAAAATCTTTATCTAGCTAGCTATTTATTTATTTAAAGATCTTATTTATTTATTTATTTATTTATTCTTAGGGAGAAGGGAAGGGAAGGAGGAAGAGAGGGAGAGGAACACTGATGTGTGAGAGGAACATGGATTGGCTAGTTCTTGTTCACACCTCAGCCAGGGACCAAACGCGCAACCCAGTCATGTGCCCTGACCAGGAATGAACAGGCGACCTTTTGATTTGCAGGATGATGTCCAACCAACTGAGCCATACCTGTCAGGGCACTATTTACTTTTTTAAAAAAGTTTTGGTTTATTTATATATCTGCTGCTTGCATTCTATAGTCTATCTTTAGTAAGTTTAAGACACTTTTTCATGTTTTATCTTCTGGATTTATCCTATTTACCTAAAGCAGTATTTCCCAAAATAATCCATGGAGTATTAGTCCTGCAAGATATTCTGAGAAGCAGAAATTTTCCAAGTCAACTAAGTTTGGAATATTGTGTTCATGATATTCAAGTCACATGAACAAATTTTAACTAAATACTCTGAGAAATTCTGCAATAATAAAGCCTGTTAAGCCTTGTTTAATTTAGTATTCCTCAGACTTTTTTGAACTTGAACAAGAATAATTTTTAGAACAAAAATAATTTTTTTAGAAACAGCATTTAACATCCTGTAGAACTGGTGTTCTGTGGGGAAAACTTTGAGACATGCTGATCCAAAGTCATCTGAAAAAGAAAAAGAAAAAGAAAAGAACTTCCTGAAGGGGCAGGGATTCTCAAATGATGAAGAGTCCCATTGAGAAGAGCAGAGGGTGGTCCTTATTGGTATCTGAGTCTGAGCAGAGAGGGCTCATGGGAACCGGGGTGGCTTTCGTCAACCCAGACAATTTAAGTCCAGAAGATTCCATTCCAGCTGAAGCGACCTGAGCAACCTCAGGTGAGCCAGGACAACAGTGACAACTACTATCATCACCATTGTTTCTGCTCCAATTTATTCGTTGCTCAGGACAGGAAAGGCACTATACATACATTATCTCCAAACACACAACCCCCCCCACCTTTAAAGGTTGGTTTTATCCTCCCTATTTTAGAGAGGATGAAACTGAGGCCAACAGAAGGTGACATGATTGCAGTAGAAACAGGATTTGGTCTCAAACCTTCCTTACTGCATCACAGCGACTCAGCCTGTTCAGCTGCTTCATGGAAGCAATTGCTCTCCCTCTGTTCTCTAGGCCACTGATCGCCCTCTCTGGAGACTTCCCTAACAGAAACAATTCTAGAGTAAAACCAGTTAAGCCATTGATTATTCTGGCCCACTTAACTGTACCGTGTCTGGTTTCCCCTATGAACCAAATTTTGCACACTCTAAACCTGATGAGACCTCTGATCGCCTAGGCATGAAATAGTATTTTGAAATTACTTCTCAAGGCTCTTGAAGAATCACGCAAGAAAATCAATCCTAACAGTCAAAGTCAACGCAAATGCTTATAGAGGCCAAGCAGGTGACATGAGTGAGGGGAGCTGGACAGGAACGAGACAGCAGGCAGTTGCAGAGACTGTGATGATCTAGAGAGAATGTTGCTCCACCGAAGAGCTTAACTGCCTTCTTAGCTTTGGCACACTGTTGTCAAGCAGAAATGTGAGCCCAAAGTTGCTTGAGCTCACTTTTCAAATGAATCCAGAAACCACAGTTGTTATGTTAAATCTTCCAATTCCAAAGCATTGGCAGCTAATTTCTTTAAAACACTAGCACAGCCAAAAACAGTATAAACTTGCAGGCGGATCTCCTGTGACCTCACAAGTCAACTTCCACTAAAAACAGTGTTACCTCTGCCACCTCTGCTCTACCCCACCATTCACTCCCTCCATCCAGCAGGCGTGGGTCCACGTTGCTTTTGATACACTCACAAAAATCAGAGGTTAAGACCTGTCAGTACTGGAGTCGTGCTTAAAGCCTTAGAGTCTAAAGTTGATTATAAAAAGGAGACCTCCATTTTTCTTTGAAAGGTGGCAAGAGGTTTAAAATAAGTGCATGTGTCACTTGAAGACAGTGGCATTCATGCTGTGCCTTTTCTAGGATGCATTACTTGCTACAATGACTCCACAGTATGAGGAAGCCATTAGCACTGCTCCAGTGACCAAAGATTTTTGCTTCCTCCCCTCCAAACTGATTTTCCAGATTCATTTTGGAGACTAGATTCAGGTCCAATTAGGTCACAGGGTGAGTAGCCCTCTGTGACATTCTCTTAGCACTAGGGGTGCTTGTTAGAGGGGTGGCTAATGCCACCGGACACCTGGATTATTCAAAGCTAGGGCTCAAGGTGTGGCCTCTTGGTCTTTTAAGGTCAACATCATTACTAAGTCCCCAGAGAAGAGCTACAGAGAGGAAGATGGAAAGAGATTTGCCCCATGGGGAGGGATTCCTCCTCTGCCTCCTTCTCCACCTGCTGCTTCAAGGTAAGACGGCACAAGAACAAAAGCAAAGCATACAAATTTTGAGAAACAGAGAACCAGGCTAATCCTTGTTTTTCCTAGGTAGTCAATGATTGGATGTTCATTTTGGTAAAAATGGAAACTTGGAACAATGATGGTTTAGCATCTCTTTCTAGGATCCTAACAGTTAACCCACTCTTCTCTTTAGCTACTCTTCCACTCTCCTGCTTCTGTTGGCTTCTTCTCTTTCCCTATGTCTTTCTCTTTCCATGCACATAATCTATCCCCATGGTTTCTGGATATCAGGTGATGTTATGTGGAAGAGAATTCTTCCCTGCTCCCTTGAAACAACTGAAATGGAACAGGAAATATGCTAAGAGGCAGGACATGGATGAGACTTGTCATGAAAGAGGAACAGTTTTTCAGTATAATTTTCCCAGTCTAGAGTATTTTTCCTGTTCACTATTGAAAATGAGCAATGAGGGATAGTATAATATCATAGAGAGATAAAAATAGATGTTACCACTTCATTCTCTGTTTCTACTCCACAAAAGATGACTAGAAAGGAGTTGGGTATAAGCTTGGTATCGAGGAGCTCTCTCTGAGAGAGTCTCAGGGGCTATGATGACTGAATTTAGAAGAGAACAATCACAGCACATAGTAGACACAATAAATACTTATTAAATTGAAAAACTGGATTCCTTCCTTAAGACCCCACTTATCTCACGCTGCCACCTGATGCCACCAGCATGTAAGGCCATACCACCCTGAACATGCCCGATTTCATACTACCTACCTTCCCTTGTCATTAACTTACGATCATCTAGACCTTATTAATATAGTGAAGAGGAGAACTGTAGCGGCAAAATTTGTCACTGACATCCCCCAGGTGGCTCAAGGACAGAGAGGAGTGATGGAAGGACATTGAGGGATGGAGCAAAGGTTTGTGATGAGATTGAGAAGAACATAGCAGGACATGAAAAGCAGTGCCCAGGGCTGAGTTTGCATACACCTTTGGACAAGCTTTGCATGGAGACAAAAACAATGGAATTGAGGATGGAGCCCTGACTCATCTCACCTCGCTAGCTTCCACCATTTGCCTACCTGTTCAGCCCACGTCCCCTGGCTCAGGAAGGAGGGGCTCTCAGGCTTGTCCCGTGACCCTGTTTTCTCACAGAAACAGTCCCTAGACCCCAGCGTCGGCACTCCTCTCACAGAGTCCCTGCTCTCCACAGGAAGAGGAAACACTTTTGCCATCAATTGCTCAGGCTTTGAGCAGCGTGGAGTGGATCCTGCTGCCTTCCAAGCAGTGTTTGACAGAAAGGCCTTCCTCCCGGTCACCAACTATAGCAACCCCGTCCGTGTCAACATTTCCTTCACTCTGTCTGCCATCCTGGAGGTGGTGAGTCCTGACCAAACACTGCAATGGTGCAGTGGTAAGCAGTGAGTCTCCTGATTGGATTTTAAAAAATTCAGAGTTCCTTCAATGGAGTAGGGAGACATAATAGGAAATGCTGCAATGACATCACTGCAGGTAAAATCTGTCCCTTTTTGGAATACTCCATAAGAAACATAATCCCAATGGCCTCATACTGGTTTTTTTTTTCACTGTTTCCCATGTGCCCTAGATTATTTGACCTACAGTTTTCAGTGGCTTATGATTAAAAGTCCTAATTGCCACACAGAACAGCCTTGGAAATGAGTAAGAGGTGAGTGGTGGCATTGGACCTGACTTCATAGAGTTAATGATCCTGCATGAAAATTGTTTTTCCAGAATGTACAGCTTCAAATGATGACATCATTCCTGTGGCTAACTATGGTATGATAGACTCAGTTTCCCCTCTGCTATAATACCTTCCTTCTTTTTTGCTCCTGGATCCGACTTTGCAGATTACAATGGATGAAGCTGAGAATACCCATGAATTAGATGAGTTCAAACAGAGCCAGACCAGGAGTGAAAACACAGAGCTTCTTTACTATTTTGCCAGTGTAGGATGACAGAGATGGAGCACAGGGAGAGGGCAGAATAAAGCAAGGTCAATATTTAAATGGCTCCATCCTTGGAAATCCAAAGCCAAGCTCAAGGTCTCCCTTGAGAACATTGAGGGAGAAGTGGAAGTAAGACTTTGTTAGTGACATTGTGACAGCTCACTAGAGAGGAGCTTGGAGAGTGAAGAAATGAGTGGAAAAAAAAGAGTGTAAAGTGCAGGAGATCTCAGAGCAAGACTAAAACTAGTTCCCACTCCATTCATCCCATGTCATGGTTTCCTCTAGAGATGGTACAATCAGTTTATCAGGTGGAACCCAGAAGAATGTGGGGGCATCAGGAAGCTCAGCATAGCAACTGAAAACCTGTGGCTTCCAGATATCTTCATCAAGGAGTTGTAAGTACCAGGGATGAAAACAGCAAGAAGGAGACCTTATCTCCAGAGAAGAGCACAGTGTAACCAATGGGGCTACACAAAGACTCAATTTAGAACGGTGCAGTATCTGAACTTAGGAGCTTACAAAAGCCCCATAACATGGATATTGGTTGAAGGGGGAAATCAGATAAGTGGGGCTGGAGCCCAGGAATGGGAGAACCTGAGAGAGAAAGAAGGCCAGGTCTGACGGGGAACCCATAGCACCCACCTCTCCATCCTTCTCATATACAGGATAATTGTGGACCAGGCACCTACGGGGCTCATGGCTTATGTCAGCAGTGAAGGGAGGGTCCAATACAACAAGCCAATGAAGGTGGTCTCCATCTGTAGCCTGGACATTTTCTATTTCCCCTTTGATGAACAAAACTGCACGTTCACCTTTAACTCTTTCATCTACACAGGTGAGTGAGGCTCATAAATAGTCTGTTGAGAGGCAGGGAAAAGGTTTTGGGTGAGAAGAGGACAGAAAGCTGGGAACAATGAGGGAATCTCACTGGAAGGGGTGCGGAAGCTAAGTGGCAAAAAACCCAATGGTCTGAGCAAGGGGGCTGGGAGCATTTGGGGAGGCTGAGTTGTCTGGGTCTCTTTGCAGTGGAGAACATGGTCCTGGGCATGCAGATGAAAGTGCAGGATATTTCAAACATATCACGGACCCTCATTCAGAGCAAGGGGGAGTGGTTACTTCTGGGTATCTACCAGAGCACAAAGAAGACGATTGTGAGCACCAACCAGTACGACCAACTTGTTTTCCATGTGAGCTCAGGGGCCCTGGTTGTGATCTTCCCCTGAGATGCATAGCTTATATGCCCCCAGAGCATAAACTTTTCCACTAGAAAGTGAGCTTCTGGAGCACAGAGATTTTTATCACTCTTTTTACTGATAAATCTCCAGTACCAGATGCAGTAGCTAGCACTCAGTAAATATTGATGGAATAAATCCTCCCTGAGGAAGAAAGGAAGCTCCTATGGTAGTGATTTACACTGAGAGGGAGCCTCCCTTTCCCTAGGGTCATCCGAACTTTCTGGAGGGCTGGAATTATTGTGTTTACTTTTAAAAAGAGAGGATGGAAGACAGTATGGTGATTGCCAGAGGGAAAGTGGGGTAGGGGAGGTAGAAGAGGGTAAAAGCGGGGGATAAATTGTGATGGGAGGAGACTTGGCTTGGGGTGATGGACACACAATACAATATACAAATGGTGTGTTATAGAATTGTATACTCGAAACTTACATAATTTTATTAACCAATGTCACTCCAATAAATTCAGAAAAAAATTTTTAATGAAATAAAGAGGTGGTAGAAAATGTATGCAAGATTCTCTTGGGGATATTATGATTCCAAATCCTGGTGATCCCAAAATATCTGCCACTCTCTTGCTTTCCCTCCTACTAGTCTTAAATTCTGCCAGCAAAGTCACTAGATGTTAGACCTTGATGAGGAGAGCAAGCAGAAATACAAGGATAAAATGCACATGATAATCTAAGAATCTGGCCCCTCAAACCTGCTTAGAGCATGTTGTAGGGATAAAACTGAAAGTGGAGAAATTGGCACTTTGGGCCAAGAAGGAATGAAATGTGTTTCAGTGGTAAGAGGCATGGCAGAGCCAAACCCTGGGAAGGCAGACTGTGGTGATTAAGATGACTCTGTTGGAGAGACAGGACAGTGAAGGTGACTTTTCCTTACTAGACAGTTTGTTCTGGAACAAATCTCAACTCTTGCTCTTAACTGACTTGGCAGCCTCCCAGCCTACTCCTCTCTTGCCCCTCTACCCTCCCCATCAGGTGGCCATCAGGCGCAGGCCCAAACTCTATGTCATAAACCTTCTGGTGCCCAGTAGCTTTCTGGTTGCCATCGACGCCCTCAGCTTCTACCTGCCAGCAGAAAGTGGGAACCGCGCCCCATTCAAGATGACCCTTCTGCTGGGCTACAACGTCTTCCTGCTCATGATGAATGACTTACTCCCAGATACTGGCACTCCCCTTATTAGTATGGTCCCTTCCTCTTTCAGTAGAATAAAAGCAATGTGGGGGGATGGGTGGGGAGAGGGACCAGGGGAACCAGTTCAAAGTGAAAAGGGACCTTTAAAAAGTGTCCTTTGAGATTAGTCAAAGAACATGTATGAAGCACCCGTAGACATGGACACTAGTGTGGGGGTTCATTATGGAAGTGGGGGGTGGACTGGGTGGAGGGGTCGTGAAGGGGAAAAATTGGAACAGCTGTAATAGTATAAACAATAAAACATTTAAAAATAATTAAAAATGAAATAGCATAAACATTAAAACATTTCAAAAATAAAAAGTGCCCTTTGGGCAAATAGGAAACAAGAAGTCTGGGAGGATCCAGTGGTCCTCACACAGGCCTGCCTTGCCTTCCCTCCAGATGTCTACTTTACTGTCTGTCTGTCCCTGATGGTGCTCAGCCTGCTGGAGACCATCTTCATCACCTACATGCTGAACCTGGCCACCACCAAGCCCCCACCCATACCCCCGTGGTTCCATTCCCTGCTTCTGCACTGCACCAGCCCAATGAAATGCTGTCCCACTGCTCCCCAGAAGGGAAACAAGGACCTGGGCCTCACCCCCGCCCACCTGCCTGGTAAGGAAGTCAGCACTGCCCACACTTCCTTTTGCAACACCTCCACTTCTCTGCTCCTGCCTCCTTCCCTGTCCCCCTCCCTCACAGGTGATGTTTGCAGCCCATAGCCTGGTCTCTGTCTCTCCTTAGGTCTGAAGGAGCCTGTAGAGTTTGTGCAGAAGGTGCCAGGTCCCCAGGAGGGGACCAATGGTTGCCCTGTGTCAGCAAGAATCTGTCAGGAAGATGTGGCTCAGAAGCAGCGCTTGGTCAGCCTGTGGATACAGTTCAGCCGCATGATGGACACCCTGCTGTTCCGCCTCTACCTGCTCTTCATGGCCACCTCCATCATCACAGTCATCGTCCTCTGGAACACCTAGGCAGATGCCCACCTGCAGGCTCTAGCCTGCAGCTTCTGTTGCCTCCAAAAACCAGCCAGGCTCTCATGCCCATTCAAATCCCAGCCTCACAGCCCTGACAACCACCTTATTTTTCAATCCAGTCCTTTTGTGCAGTCAAACCTGATGTGGGTGGTTTCCTACATCCTCTCAGAGTTAGGTCCTTGCTCCTGCATACTGTCAACTCCCCTCAGCCTTCCCACAAGTCTTGCTTGTTTGGCTTCTTAGGAATACTTTCTTGATTGAATCACCCTTAATAAATCCCTTTGCAGAAAGCACTGGTTCTTCCCTGCATTATATTATAGTACAAAAAAAAATCTTGGGATTAAGAGTCTTATTGCAGAAACTTCTCATTACCAAAAGGATTTCTTTTTTTTTTTTTAATGGTTTATCAGTCAACTTGGGGAAGTAGAAGATGGGAAAGAAGGGGCCAAATTTATTATAAGGAATTATAATAAAAGAGGAATTAACCTCCTAAATCCAGTTATCCTGGATTTCAGAAATTAACAATGTGCCAGAACCAGGCATCTCTGGCTTAAAGAGTGAAGCCTTTGTCACCACCTGACACATGACTCATTCATCATTAAGCACTTAGAGTGTTAACATATATAATCCCAAATTACTGTTAACTGTGTTGCAATGAGTTGATCTGCCTTTAATCACACTAAAAATAGAACACTAGGCCAAGGAAAGCACATTGGAAAATGGCATTTGCTTTGCTTGGGAGTTACACAAAGGAACTGGAAAATTTGATTTTGAAAGTCTTTGACTGTTGGCCATCTCTCCCACTGGCTCCCTGGGGAAGCAGAGGCCCCTGTGTTGCTGTGTTTGAGAGTGGAGGCATGATTTGTTGGACACCCCAGGTTCAGAAAAGCACAGATTTGAGAGCAACTTAATTACAACTCAAACCTAATCTTTTCTTTTTAGCAACCATTCCTTTTTCTTTCTTCATTTCTCCTATTCTCTGTCTAAAGCCTTAATTTCCCAGGTCACAACAGGCTAGGAGTAAAAACAGAGTAGTAATATTGTTCACTAAACAGTATTTTCCTGGTTCCTCCTCTGCACTGTTCTTCCTCAAACACCTCAGCTCCCTGTGGTCACCATAGATGCCTAAAGGAGGCAGAGCTGCCAGTGTCCACTCCTACCCCAGTGTTCTCTGCAGGCGGGAGCATCTGCCCTCTCAGCCAGCGCCCCAGCCACTGGAGGGCTGGATCCTGTAGCACAGATGTTCCCAGCTGGAAGCTGAGTCACCAGGACAACCTGTTACTTGCTCTATCCTTGCTTCCCCTTCTGCAGGCAGCAGTCCACGGGGATTGGAAATGGGAGGCAGAAATACCCTGCAATATTCCGAATCGCTCCTTTCACTCAGGCACCTGGTCTTTCAACTAAACTTCAGTCCCTTAATTCTTCTTGTTCCCCTCTGCATTGTTTTCCCAGGAAGATCTTTGGCTCCTGTTTCTAGAGCCCTGTCAAATACTCCCCGGACTATCACCAGTCCTCCGGGCACGTCCAAGACCCAGTGCAATCTAGGCTCGACTCAGGAGCCCTGAATTCACCTACATAAATTAATGTGTCTTATTATTTTAGCAGTTCCTCAACTCACAGCTTTCTACAAAGTGGGCCTTTAGAAAGGGTGTGGCATAGTAGTACTAACATCCAACATTTACTAAGTTGTTAGTATGTGGCAGGCAGTCTTCTAAGTGCTTTATATGAGTAAACACATTTAATCCTTATGGTTACCCTACGAAATAAGAGCTACAGATCTATAAACACAAAATCAAATGCGTTTTGGAATTTGAAAATTCTCAGATTTTAAAAAGGTAACAATGGTGCATACACTGTATATTCTGAACAAGCAGGATATGGTGCAGCACCCAACGATCAAATATTAGTGTCACTGCAGTGGAATCTAGGGTAGCAAAAATGAAACTACAGATAGTTTCGACTGTTCGGGACAGGTTTGCCATGAAACAATTTGTGAAAAATCATTTGGTTTTCAAAGCTCTTTAGGTTTTAGAACTGTGGTTTTATCATCCCAATTTTATATATTCAAATAAATGAGAAAATGAAGCACAGGGAGGTGATGTAATGGCCAGTGAGCTGTCACCTACAGTTCTGCAGCTAGTTAAGTGGAAGTGCTGTGGTCTGAACCTAGGCAGGCCCTGGATACTGGACTCCTACCCTCTCTGCCCCCTAAGCTAAGGATGAGAACCAGGTAGGTTCTCTAAGAGTCCTGTGTTAAGAGGTCAATGCCACTTCAAGACTTTACTAGGTAACACGTTATGAGAATTAAAACAGAAAGAGCAAGGCCCTGATCTGGGTACCAAAGACCAATTTTCTTTTCTATTTCCTTTTCCTCCCTCCCTCAGTTTTCCCCACTTCTCACTCCCTCCCTCCCCATCCCCATCCATAAGTCATAACACCCAAGTTCATTGCTCCCACTTTATCCACTTCTTTTGAGAACGTATTTGCCTAAATCCAATCCGGACAATTTATCTTACCTCTGTGTTCCCTTGGGTTTAGTTTTTGCTGCCGATACCTATTGTTGGATATTTTTAGATCTTCCACTCATCCGCCCTGTCCTGAGACAATCTCCTCACCTGGAAACTCATCGTTCACACTGTTGAGTGGCTCAGTTACCCAGTGTTAGAGCAGTTCTGAAACTATTCAAGATCGAGTTGCATCACTTAGTTTTTTCTACCCATTTGCATGGTACATATTTCTCTGCTTATTTTCTTCACATCCATTCCAAACAAGTGGCTTTAAATTTTATTTGAATAGAATACACACAACTTATCCTTTTTTGACATATGAATTAAGGTGCCATATCTCCTTTCAGTATGAGCAGGGCATAGTATAATTATCTTCTCCAAAATCAAAATCTGAACATGTGATCTTAACACACAACCGATAATCAGATAGAACCTTTTGAAACCAGAGCTTTCCCAGAAAATGGACAGGTGTGGTTGCTGCCTTTCTGTTCTATCTATAACAGAATCATATGATAAGCATGCTTTGTACTAAAGGTTTTTCTCTTGTTATGTGGCAGACCTCTGAAAGGCTTTGCAGGGTAATGTATGACCTCTTTAGAAAAATCTGCTGACGGGCACCTGGTGCAGCCTGGGCTGCCTTGCATGTGATGACCTATTTCTGCCCGATCGGGCCTCTTCTCGTCCATTCACCTGCAGTGCTTCCCTGCGGCCCTTGCACGCATTTTGGTTCACTTTCTTCTTCTCTAAACACTTATTAACAGTATTTTTCATGTCTTCTGCATTTTCATGTTTCATATTAACCAGACATGAAAATTTCTTCTCTCATTGCCATCTTTTCCTCCTCCTCTTCCTCCAGACCTGCTCTAGGATGTGAAGTTGCAGACTGCATTTCAAGCCTATTTTTTTTCTCCTATCCAATTTCTGATCCCACCTCTCTTGTTGGATCATCCATTGGCACTGGTTGTTTTATATAGTAGGAAAAAATGGTACAGTCCAGAGACTTTGGCGTCTGGCAACCCTGGGTTCTGATCTGACCCCATAGCTTGCTAGCTGGGTAACCTTGTACAAGTGGCTTAACTTTGTGAGTTTAAATTGCTTTATTTGTGAAATGAAGCTAGTAACACAGATTAAATTATTTTTAAAATATGGATTTAAAAAAATCACTGATAAGTGTGCAGAAATGAGAAAACCACATGTGACACACGAAAGAGCATCTATTTATCATGTAGGCTGACACCTGAAGAGCAAAACCAACTTCTGGGTGGAAGGCAATAGACTTAAAGAGTTACAGACCTTATAGTTCTCGTTTTTAGATGAGAAAAATGAAGCGGAGAAAAGTAAAATGATAAATATGGGGTTGTCACATGTCAAGAGAGCCTGGGATCAGAGCATGGATCTGTCCAAGTGGCAGCCACAGGTGAGTGCTTATCTATGGGACCCTTTTCCCAGGTGCTTTTCAGGAGTCCCAGGACTCTCCATTTCTCCTGGTCCAGGCACCATCGCAAGTCTGACCTCAACTATATGCCATCCTGCAGTTAGCTGATTTGGCTGCCTCCTGTACTTCTGGCTCCTGAGCCCCGGCCAGCAGTCTGTGTATGTGATTGCCATCCATACAGGCTGCAAAACAATGACTCTCACTTCCCCCTTCCACCATCTAATTCTGTCCTTGCCAGGTTACAGCTATTTTCCCAAACCTGATCCCCTAGGGTCCCAGATGAATGGGGCCACCAGAGAGCCATGCAGTGTGACCCCTTCCCCCCTTAGAATAAGCTAAGGAGGGAGGTGTTGGTGTCTGTGACCTGTGAAAGTATAGCTTCTATCCCCACTGTTTAACTTCAGATTCAGGCATTACCTAGGCCTGGGATTTCATTGGTGGAAACCTGGAGGACTACTCATCAATCCACCAGACTTCTCAGCCATGGAATCATGAAAAGGGCAAAGAAAGAGCAATGGAATCAAACTGACCTGGGTTTGAATCTGGATTCTACCAGTTTCCACTTGGGTAGACACTGAGCCAGATTTTTACCTCTCTGCACCTCAGTTTTCTGATCTATAAAATGGGAGTAATAATAGTGCTGGCCTCTCAAAGCAGTTGTAAGGATATGAATACAAGTAAAGTCCCCAACACAGTATAAATCACATGGCACAAACTTAATAAAGGGGTAGCTCTGGTGAGGCCATTCTGAGCCTGCTGTTTACTGGCAACTTAGAGGGGTAGTCAGGGAAAAAAAAGGCTGGGCCCTGGCTCCAGCCCTCTGGATCCCGCCTGCTTCAGACTGCTGTGCTTCCACCCACTCCCATCTCCACCTGACTGCACCCAAGGTGGGTGCCCCATGGAAACAGCAAGTAACTTCTCTGATATGACCTCAGGACTCCCATGAGGTTCCCAGCCACCTTTCTTACATCTGCCCAAAGGTGCCTGTGTCTCTTTCTCATCCATAGTGAACTGTCAGGCCAGGTATGTAACTAACATTTATTGATTATACACTACTGCATGCCACACACAGAGGGAGGGTGGCGGTGGGTTGTGGAAGACAAGACATGCTTTCTGGTCTCAATGAGCCTACAGAGCAAGAGGAGAGAGACCCATGTAAAGAGATGTCCCAATTGAAGGTTCACAACTGAATTCACCGTGTGTGTGAGTGTGTGTGTGAGAGAGAGAGAGACAGTGAGAGAGAGAGAGAGAGAGAGAGAGAGAGAGAGAGAGAAAGGGAGAAAGAGGGAAGGAGGGAGGGAGGGAGAGAGTGAGTGAGGGGGGAAGGAGGCTTCACAAAAGACTAGAAGCTTGAATTGAGCTGAATCTTTTTCTTTTTGAATTAAGCTGAATCTTTAAGAATTTATTAGTGGAGTCCTGGCTGGTGTGGCTCAGTAGATTGAGTGCCAGCCTGTGAACCAAAGGGTCACTGGTTCAATTCCCAATCAGGGCACATGCCTGGGTTGCAGACCAGATCCCCAGTAGGGGGTGCATGAGAGACAACCACACACTGATGTTTCTCTCCCTCTCTTTCTCCTTCCCTTCCTCTACCTCTCTAAAAATACATAAATAAAATCTTTTAAAAAAGAGAATTTATTAGTGGGACAAGAGAACAATGGTAGAAGATATACTTTAGATTGAGGGAACATGGAGGGGTAAAATTACATATTGAGCCCTGAAAAGTGTGGTTCATTTGGTTGGGCATCATCTCACAAAGTGAAAGGTCACAGGTTTTATTCCCGGTCAGGGCACGTGCCTGGATTGCAGGTTTGGTTCTCAATCGGGGCATGTGCAATAGGCAACCAATTGATGTTTCTCTCCCTCTTTTCCTCCCTTTTCGTCTCTCTAAAACTATATAAATAAATGAAATCTTTTTTTAAAAATCACATATTGAGTGTTGAGATGCTATTTAATATGCAGTGTTTTTCCATGTTAGTCTAAGGACCACGAGCATTAGAATCAGCTGTGGATCTCATGTAAAAATGTGAATTCTTGAGCACTACTGCCTGCAATTCCAAGCTGGGGCTAAGATTCTGAGTTAGGGTCAGAGGGGTGAGGGTAATATGCATGAGGTAGTTCTTACACATTTTAAAGATAAATACAGCTCTCTCAGAACATAAAATCAAAGGCAAAGATGATGGAAAGACAGGTAAGAGTTAAGTCAGAGAGAGCCTTTTAATCATGTGAACGAGCTAGATTTCATTCTGTGGGCCAGTGGCTCTCTCAGTGTGGCCCCAGGGCATGTAGCCACATCATCCCCCAGAGATTTGTTAGAAATACAAATTTCCAGCCCCATCCATCCTAACATAACTGCTAAAGACAATGGGAACCATTGAAAGATTTCAGATAGAAGAAGGATATGATCACATCCACATTTCAAACAAATCACGCAGGCTGAACGGTGGAGGGTAATGTAGAAGAAGCCAGACTTGGAGTGAGATCACTAAGGAGGTGGCCAGGTGTGAAGTCAGAGGGCTTTGATGGCACCATATAGTTTCTAGAGAGACTTTTTAAAAGATTTTATGTATTTATTTTTAGGGAGAGGGGTAGGAAGGGAGAAAACGAGGGAGAGAAACATCGATTGATTGCCTCTCACATGCACTCACCCCAACCAGGGACCTGGCCTGCAACTCAAGCATGTGCCTTGATGGGGAATCGAATCGGTGATCTGCATCTGTGCCTCTGGCCTCAGCACCCTGAAGATTCAGGGGATCTGTTGCCCAACCCACTTTTCCTGATTCCACACAGCACAGCCATGGAGACACCAGATACGAATACCAAGAAGCTTGAAAATTATTCTCAAGTGGCTTCTCACTGTACATCCTAGAAGTTCCATGGAGATGGGGCAGAAATTGCCCTACCAGTCAGAACCAGAAATGGGAGGAGAGGACATAGTGGCTATCCTATAATCATTTGGGGTATTAAAAAAAAAAGTGTTAAATCCCTAGGAATCCAAATTGCTAGTGGTTCTCAATGGTGGACAATTTTGTCCCCAAGTGGACATTTGGCAATGTCTGCAGACATTGTTAGTGGTTACAAATGGGGGGGGGCGGGGTTTGCCATCTGGTGGGTCAGAGATGCTGCTGAGCATACTGCGGTGCCTAGGAGAGCTCCCCCAAACAAAGAATGATCCAGCCCAAAATGTCAATAGTACCAAGGTTGAGAACCTCTGCTCTGGGCAATCCCAGGCTCACAAGAGTCTTTAACTGGCCTCAAGCTTGTCCAAGGAGGCAGTTAAAGCCCAAAATCAAAGCCTCTGTCTGTAGATGTCCTGACTGAGTGCCCAAGAATCCTAGAGATTTGTGAACCCAAGATGGAGACTCCAAAGAAGCACCGAGAAAGCAGGAGGTGTGGGAAAAGTCCCTAACCTTCCCACAGTGACCTCAGAATCAGCTGAGTTTCTGAACCGTCTCCTAATGCTGGGTCCTCGTGAAAGCCCACAGCTTGACTTACAAGAGACATGTACTTGGAGCTAAAATGGGAATTTTAGGGACTCCCCAGAATATTCCTGGGAATGTAGGGTAAAGCTATTCCTAATGGCCTTAGAAAATGATAACCCAGCTACTGAAGCTCTGTCTAAATATGACAGAAAGCCTACTGGAGAAGGGAAGGAGGAGGTAGGCATACACCGGAGGGATGCCCAAAGCACATTTGTAACAAGGAACTCTGTCCTGGGATGAACTCTGTCCTGGGATGAACTCTGAAAGCTGGCCTCCTAAACAAGCACTCCAGGTGCTTAATTATTTTTCTGAGATGGAGGGCTGGCCACTGTGGAAAGCACATTGTGCATCCAAAGCACTCTGAAGGTGGAAAGAGACTGGATGTCCATGCTGAGACTTGCATGTGAGCCCTGCATGGCTACAAGCGTTAGGGAACCTACCACCCTGGTTATCTTAAATACTATCATTTTTACTGCTTTGTTTGAAAATGGTCTCTAATTCATCATTTTAGGTGTTCCTTTCAAAGATTATCAACTAATTGTAGGTGCTCATTTTTTTTCGTTAATGACAAAGTTTATTTTTCCTGAAATTTACTACGTTCTAAAATAAGATTGAGAAATACAAAGTCCAATAGTTATCTCTATTTCCTTGGCTCCCTCGCTTTTCCCCATGTACTCCTGTCTGATAATCTGTGTTGTAGGGTTGTCGAAAGGATTACATAAACTGGCAAGAAAGACATCACAGTGCCTAGCGCTCAGTGGGGCGCTCAGTAGGCTAGCTGCCATTACCACCGCCAGCAGCAATAGCGCCTGAGATTTCCAGACCCCAGAGTTGCAACTCTGACTCCCAGGCAGGAAGCGAGCCCATGCCTTCCTGTTCTGTTTCTCCTGCCTCTATCATCTCCATCTCCTGGCAGCTAAGTCTACTCTTGAGTCCAACCACTAGATTTAGTGCAGTTTTTCAGCCAACCTTGATAAAAACAAGATATACATCAACCATCTTCAGCTGCTTTCAGCAGGCTTGATGTTCACCCTTCTTTTCTGGAGCCAAGGTCCCGTAGCCTCGCCTGCCTGCAGAACTCAAGCACCCCTTGAAAGTTCTTCACCTTTAGCCAGTCCAGGAGCCCAGTGCCCCCTGGGGGTGTGTCCGTGTGGATACAGACATAGCAGTACTTTGGTCCTACAAGAAAGGATGGTCCAATGCTTTGGCCAAGTTTCCAAAGAAGGAAAGACATGATTTACAGAAAGCGTGGGGCTGATGGACTGCACAGATGGCAAATGTCAAATGGAAGATGTTGCAGGCCTCTCTCCAGGGCTTTCCTGCTCTGGGCCCCGAAGTCAGTCCTGCCTTCCTCAGCACTTTCTATTTAGGGCTGTCATGATCTTTCACTCCAAACAAAGTTTCTTTTGTATTCTAAAAGAAACTCTACCCTTCTGCAAGAGAAAAAAATTTCTGAGTCTTTCTGGAAATGTAGCTAATATAACATAACAATGCTCCAGTCCACTCATTTGGTGTTTGATTGTTTTTTATAGAGATGTGACATAAGATTTAATATTGATACAGGCCATTAATATTTCTGTTAGCTGAGATTACTATTTTATGGTCATGTATAACACTACTGACAACGCAAAAACATTAAAAACAGCCCTGCTATCTGCTAATTTTATGACTTCTATTATCCTGTAGTTAACGCACAGAGTAAAAACTGTGTGCAGGACATTGATTTGGGGAAGGCACAGGGACTGGAAAGAGAAAATCTAGTTAGGGGCTGTTGGAAAAATAAAAAAAATAAGTGATGAAGACATGAGTCAAAATTACAATTTGGTATTCACAATTAAATCTAATGAATACACAGCCAAATCCCTAAAATATTGTCACCTCTCCAAATCTACAGATTTCCTGGCCTTAGAAGAACATAATTTTTATTTCCCTAGCCCACACTCCTCACTAAGGCAAGTTATTTTGTTATTGATCTCAACACAGAGCAGCCAAAAAGGCAATTCTCCCTGAGTCTTGGCCCAGCTTTCTCCCTGCCTGGAGCCCAGAAGGCATACCCGGACAGGGGCAAAGCAGGACACTTGCTGTGACATCGTTGGCCACAGCCACTCACCAGGGAGTGGTCACCTGTCATGAACCATATTCAAAACCAAGAACCAAGGTGTGGTCTGAGCTCCTTTAAGCTCAAGGGTTTTGGGGCTACTGGTGAGTGCCCAGAGAAGACTTCAGAAGAGCAGCATGGAAGGGGGGTGGCCCACTGGAGGCGGACTCCTCCTCTGCCTCACTGTCAGCCTTTTGCTTCAAGGTAAGATGGGGCCAGAACAGGGAAGACTAGAGTATGGTTCTGAAGAACAACTAGAAATTTCCCTCGAGCACCTGGAGGACTTTCAGAATTAACTTGTTAAATATTTCTTCCATGATATCTGTGTCTTGATTTCCTTTTGGTGACAGATAGAAGGGTGTTCCACCGATCAGGACACACAGCCTTCCTCTGTCCCTACCTGACAGGTATCTACCCAACTGCCCCATTTCACCACCTCTCCAACTCCACCTTTTCATAGACTTCCAGTGTCCCTTCCACCACCTGTCATCCCACCCTCCCTATCTCTTTTTCCTTTGATACAATATCTTTGAAAGAGGGGCCACTAATTTTAAACATGCCCTGAAGGAGTAAGCAAAACAGTGACAGAGGGTAAGGAGACAGCTGAGGAAGAAGGAAGTGGATATTTTGCTCCCACGAGGGAATATTTGTTCCCAGTCAGGGTACATACCTTAAATATAATGGAGATGAAGAGGAGCAGGCAGAGAAAAAGATCACGTAAAGATGAAAATGGGGCAAAGATTCTGCTCAGGTACCGCCCAGGCGGCTCCCTTGCCATGACCAAAAGACAATATCGCATGAAACACGCTGTGTGGTTGGCGCATGGTAAGTGCTCCATGGTATCACCTAGTGATCCCAATGCTGGAAATAAACTCCAAGATGCCTGAGATGAGCAAAATAAAAATGCATAGCACCAAGGTAAACATCCATTCAGAGTATCTGCTACACATTTCCCGTATCTACCTAATTAATGTGGTTGTTTACTTCTCTTATCTTTTTGATAAGTCAGTTCCTGCAGATGTCCCTGAGGAAAAAGTACAGAAGAGAACAGCCTAAGAACAGAATACCTAAGAACAGCCTAAACTACTGGTTTTAGGGCAGTGCTCAGCTGCAATACTAGGTGGACCCAAGAAGCTTGTGATAGGTACACTAGAACACTCCTTGAAGTGGCTGCCACTGCACCAAGGCTGATTTGCCTATAGATTTGGGCAGGTTTTGCATGAGGATGAGACAATGGGAGTGAGGATAGAGCGGTGACTCAGTTCACCACTTGACTTCCACCATTTGCCTACCAGACCAGCTCATCCTCTCTGGCCCTGGCAGGAAGGGGTTTGTTTGGCCTTGGGGAGTTTGGGCACAGGAAGGATTCACCTGTTCCTTCCAGTATGTCCCCTGGAAACAGACCCTCTCTCACAGAGTCTGTTCTCTCTCTACAGGAAGAGGTGACACTTTCACCATCAATTGCTCAGGCTTTGACCAGCTTGGGGTGGATCCTGCTGCCTTCCAAGCAGCATTTGACAGAAAGACCTTTCGCCCAGTCATCAACTATAGCAACCCCACTCAAGTCAACATCTCCTTCACCCTGTCTGCCATCCTGGAAGTGGTGAGACCTGGTCCTCACCTTCCATAGCTTCTTTTTAAAAAATTATTTATTTTTAAAGAGAGAGGAAAGGAGGGTGAAAAAGAGGGAGAGAAACATCAATGTGAGAGAGAAATATCAATCAGTTGCTTCTCATACACACCCCGATGGGGGAACAAACGCACAACCCAGGCATGTGCCCTGACCAGGAATCGAACTGGTAACCTTTCTGTTTGTGGAACAATGCTCCAACCAACTGAGTCACACAAGCCAGGGCTCCATGTCTTCTAACAGGGAACAAGGATCCTCTGCCCTGTTGACCCAACATTGTACTGGTCCAGTGGTGAACAATAGGTACTCTGAATGGATTTCCTATACATAGAGGGGTTTCTTAGCGATGGGAAGACATCAAGAAGAAGGCTGCAGTGATATATATTTTTAGGAAGGATTTCTCCTTGACTCCTTTTCTTTCTGGATGCTCTAGAAGGAAGTGGTCTGTCTGTCAATTAAAACCTGAATTGTACCTAAAAACAAGAGGAGACAAGCAAGGAAAAGACAGTCCAACATTTACAACTATGCCTGGCTCAATAGATCAGTAAATATCAGTAAGAATGTGAGGTGGGGATGGGCCATGTCTTTAGGCACTAATGATCCTGCATGGGAATTTCTTCACCAGGATGCACAGCTCCAGCTTCTGACATCCTTCCTGTGGATTAATTTGGTAAGGCAGATTCAACTGTCCCCTTCCCACTTCTACTTATAGGTTTTATTTGAAAAATAATGTAAAGGTTTTCTAGTCTGAGCCTCTACTCAATGTATAAATCTTTCTGAGACCAAATAACTCCATTTAGAACTGTGGGGACACAAATCTCCCTGAGCAGCTTAGGAAGGTAGAAATGGTGACCCAAGAAAATGGCCAAGTGGTTGCAAGCCAATCTATTGATGCATTCCTGGGCCTAAGTGGTATTAGGCTATATTTAAGATCTGCCTGAATCAAAGGCTATTAGTTGATACTTTGTCAATGACACATGGCTGGATAAAGAGAAGGAGGTAGGCTGCAGTCATTAGGGACATGAGTGGAGTTGGTGGATCAGAGTTTAAAAAAGAAACGGGAGAGTCGGGAGAGGTTGACTGGACAAGCTCCATCATCCCTTGCCTCGGTTTCCCACTTCCCTCCCTGTAGGTATGGGACAATCCTTTCATCAATTGGAACCCAGAAGAGTGTGTTGGCATCCAGAAACTTACTGTATCAGCAGAAAACCTGTGGATCCCAGATATCTTCATTGTGGAAGCGTGCGTATCTGGGCTGGGGAAAGCCAGCATGGAGCCCACCTGCAAAGAACAGTGTAGGGTCAAGTATAGGGCACAGGGACACTAAAAGATTCAGACGGGGACACGGTTTTAATTAACTGACTCCCACAAAGCACTATGAGGGGTAGATGAGACAAGATAGAGTGACGTTAGGGGAATAACCCAAAAGGAGAGCACAGGTGGGGAAGACCTGGGGAGAAAGGGAGACAAAAGCTGATGAAGGCACCCACAGCACCCACCTCTCCCTCTCTCTCACAAGCAGCATGGATGTGGATCGGGCACCTTCAGGTCTCTCCGCATATGTCAGCAGTGAAGGTCGAATAAGGTACGATAGGCCGGTGCGGGTGACCAGCATCTGTAACCTGGACATCTTCTACTTCCCTTTTGACCAACAGAACTGCACTTTCACCTTCACTTCCTTCCTCTACACAGGTGAGTGAGACTCGTTCCGGCAGCTATTTAGGATCCAGGGGAAGATATTTAAGTGGTATCAGTATTACAGGGAAAGCTTTGGATCAGCATTTCTCAACTGTGGCTGTCCACTAAAGCTTTTTAAAAATACCAATAACTGCATCACCCCAGAGATTCTAATTTAATCATTCCAGGTGGTGGCTCAGTTACTGTTATTTTTATATATCTCCCTAAGTTTTGCTAATGTGCAGAGTTAAGAATTACTGCTTTAATTCCTCAATGAAGTTTAAAAAAAAAACCTACTGCTTTAGATCTTGGATGGCCCTTGCCCTATATCTGACCCTGAGCTACTGCACCTCTATAATTTTTAGCTCATCCCTTTTAACTTTAATAGCTAACACTCTTAAACCAGTAAATCAGTGTAAATGAATGCCACTAGATATCATGTGGCAGATTTGAATAAATCAATCACTATAATGAGCATGCATGTAATTATAAAAATGTGGAACTGTTCAAGATTGATTCCACTAAAACAGCATCAGACAACTGGGGAAATGAGAAGGAAAATGGGAATGATTTACGTTTTGAGTCATATCCAAAATTCCCATAAAACCTTTGACTCACCCTTGTTTTCAACAACCAACAACAACAACAACAAAATCAGGGCTGCAGGCCACACACATACGGATTGCTGGTCCTGTAACCCCCTTCTGAGAAGCTCCATGCCCTGCATTAAAAGGACAAAGAGGAAAATTTGTTGAAGAAACTCAGTGGGGGAGGAATCAACTTCTGTGGGCAGAAGGCACTGAGCTGCCCTGGCCTCCCTTGCAGTGGACAACATGCTTCTGGGCATGAACAAGGAAGTGTGGGAGATAGCAGACACGTCTCGTGACATCCTTCAGACCCAGGGAGAGTGGGAGTTCCTGGGCATCAACAAGGCCACCCCGAGGCTGTTGGTGGGCAACAGTGTATATGACCGGATCATCTTCTACGTGAGTCCAGGGGTTGCTCTTTGACTTCTGGTCCCAATTGTTCTGTGGTCTTCCTCTTGATCTAAGGCTCTTTGAGATACAGAAAGAAACTTTAGAGGTGGTAGACACACAATAAGTGTATAGATGATGGGTTGCAGAATTATGAACCTGAAACCCGTATAACTTTGTTAACCAGTGTCACCCCAATAAATTCAATAAAAAGGAAAAACTAAAAGAAGCTTTAGGGGGTTAGCAGCTGCTCCCCACTCCACCCTGTACCCTAGTGGCCCTAAAGGAGGATGCCCAGGACCTCTGCCTTGCACAGAGGAGGAGCAGCTATGCTCCTACCAGAATGGAGTAGTCACCATCTGATAGTGCCAAGAGCCCTACTTGCTGATAAACATCTACAGTTGTATTCCTAGCAGGTTGGACACACACACAAAATTAGAAAGCAAATTGGGGGCACTTCTGCAGAGGAGCACAAGTTACTTAAAGAGATCACCCCATAGAGAGCCAAACAACACATCAGCAAAGATTAGACAAATAAACACGCAATTGAGCTCCTGCATCAGTTAATTGCCACATTCTCCACAATCTCTCCTTCCCACCAGGTGGCCATCAGGCGCAGACCCAGACTCTATGTCATAAACCTTCTGGTGCCCAGTAGCTTTCTGGTTGCCATCGACGCCCTCAGCTTCTACTTGCCAGCAGAAAGTGGAAACCGCGCCCCATTCAAGATAACCCTTCTGCTGGGCTACAACGTCTTCCTGCTTATGATGAATGACTTACTCCCTGCCAGCGGCAGCCCCCTCATCAGTACGGCCCCTCCCACTTTCCAGGGAAGCTAAGGCAGCAGAGCATAGGGAAGGGAACCTGGAGAACCAGCTGGCTCTCCACTTAAGGAGGAAAGGGTTTCTGTAGAAAGATTTAATTTGGGGAAAGAGGCTGAAGAAAGTATAGAAATGATTTGCCCTGGTTTATTTATAGTTCACTTTGCCCTCAGGTGTCTACTTTGCTCTCTGTCTGTCCCTGATGGTGCTCAGCCTGCTGGAGACCATCTTCATCACCTACATGCTGAACCTGGCCACCACCAAGCCCCCACCCATACCCCCGTGGCTCCATTCCCTGCTTCTGCACTGCACCAGCCCAATGAAATGCTGTCCCACTGCTCCCCAGAAGGGAAACAAGGACCTGGGCCTCACCCCCGCCCACCTGCCTGGTAAGGAAGTCAGCACTGCCCACACTCCCTCTTGCAACACCTCCACTTCTCTGCTCCTGCCTCCTTCCCTGTCCCCCTCCCTCACAGGTGATCTTTGCAGCCTATAGCTGGGTCTGTTTTTCTCTGGAGGTCTGAAGGAGCCTGTGGAGTTTGTGGGGAAGTTGCCGAGTCCCCAAGAGGCAGAGTTAAACGGGTCCCCTGTGTCAGCAAGGGGCCAGCAGGAAGACAAAGCTCAACAGCAGCACTTAGTCAGCCTATGGGTGCAGTTCAGCCACATGATGGACACCCTGCTGTTTCGCCTCTACCTGCTCTTCATGGCCACCTTTGTCATCACGGTCATCGTCCTCTGGAACACCTAGATGGACATCCACATCCACCTCTCCCTGCAAACCACAGCTCGAGTTTCTCCTTGCCTTTGAGCCAGCCAGACTCTGGCCTCTTTCCTAATCTTAGCCACTTATCCCCAGTGACTACCGTGTCCTCTTCTTTATTCCCAAAACTTCAACGCAGCCCTTCTGAGTAGGTTTGGCACAGCCATGGCCTTCTCATATACCACGGTCCTCATTCCTGCACACTGTTAGTGTCCCTCTGCCACACCTGACTTCTGACTCCTTTATCAACAGAGGTCCAGATCAGTGGAGTCTCTCCTTGATTGGCTGTTCCAATAAATAACTTTCTAGGAAGTGGTGGCTCCTCAGTACATTTATGATAGGTCCACAAACACTGAGGTGGAGAACTTTGATACTTCACCCTAAACAGGTGTAACATGATTTGATTTTAAGTTTTTCAGACACTTTCAGAGTTTAAAAGAATAAAAAGATCAAGTCTCATTTGCAAGAAATTACCTTAAAATAGTTATAATTGCAAAATATTCCTTTCATCATTATTTCCATTTCATTCTTCTTTACCTCTCTCATTGCTAAAATTGATCTTTGAAATAAATATTGGGTCATTGTTTTATTCTGACCAGTTCTTCTGATTTTACAAAATCAAGCAGAGAAGGTTTTCTGAATATACATGCTTGGAGGAGGGCCAGGAAGACAGTTAAGGACCTCATTTAAAAAGTTCAAGTTAGCCTTCCCTGGTGTAGCTCAGTGGAGCGTGGGCCTGTGAAGCAATGGGTCATGGCTTCAATTCCCAGTCAGGGCACATGCCTGGGTTGCAGGCCAGGTTCCCAGTAAGGGCCATGTAAGAGGCAACCACACATTGATATTTATCTTCCTCTCTTTCTCCTTCCCTCCCTTTCTCTAAAAATAAATAAATAAAATCTTTTTTAAAAATTCAAGTTAAATAAATTGTCATACTGCCACAGGATGGAATACTTTGTGGCCATTGAAAGTGAGAATATAGATCTATGTTAATAAACATGGAAACAGATCCATGACCTATAAAGTAGAGAACACAAGTTACAAAACAGTATGTATACATTATTTCTCTTAAAAAGAGAGAGACAGAAAAAGAGAGCACTAAAGAGGAATGAAGAGAAAACATATGGATGTCTAGACACCAAAACATGAACAAATTTTATCCTGGATAATGAAATTATGAGTGATTGCTATTTTCTTTTATATCTTTATCTGTGTTTTCTTAACTGTTCTTAATGAACAAATATTATTTTTACTATCAAAAAATCCCATTTTAATTTTTTAAATATTTTTTATTTTTTAATTACAGTTGACATACAATATTATGTCAGGTGTACGATGCAGCGAGTAGACATTTCCATAACTTACAAAGTGATCCCCCCCAATATTTTTAGTACCGACCTGGCACCATACACAGTTATTGCAATATCATTGACTGTGTTCCCTAGACTGTATTTTATATCCCATGACTGTCTGTAACTACCAATTTGTACTTTTTAATCCTTTCACCTTTTTCACCCATTCCCTCCAACCCCCTCCCACCTGGCAACTGTCAAAATGTTCTATGACTTTTTCTGATCTGCTTGTTCATTTATTTTATTTTTCAGATTCCAAATATAAGTGAAATCATATGGCATTTCTCTTTCCCTGTCTGACTTATTTCACTCAACACAATACCTTCTAGGTCCATCCATGCTGTTGCAGATGACAAGCTTTCATTGTTTTTACTCTTGCCCAGCAAAGCTATTGTTTAGAACTGAAGAACAGATAAAGAGCTTTCCAGGCAAGAAAAAGCTAAAGGAGTTTATCAGCATCAAACCAGAATTACAATAAATGTTAAAGGGTCCTTTTCCAGAAGAATAAAAAAATAACTAGAAATATGAATACTAAAATGGTAATAAATACATATCTATCAACAATTACTTTAAATTCAAATGAATGAAATGCTTCAATCAAAAGACATATGGTGGCTGAATGGATAACAAAGCAAGACCTTTACATATGCTGTCTACAAGGGACTCGCTTCAGGTTGAAAGACACACACAGACTGAAAGTAAAAGGGTGGAAAAGATATTTCATGAAAATGAAAATGGGGGTGGGGGAGGGGGAAAGCTGTGCTAGCACTACTTAATACCAGACAAAATAGACTTTAAAGCAAAGGCTATAACGAGAGACAAAAAAGGACCTAACAATTTCACTTTTGTATATTTATTCAAAGACACCCAAAACACTAAATTGAAAAAACATATACATCTATATGATCATTGAAGTATTATGAACAAAAGCTAAAATATGGAAGCAACCTGCATGTCTATCAGTAGATGAATGGATAAAGAAGAAGTGGTACACATACACAATGGAATAAAACCCCCTTAAAAACAAAAAGAGAGTTTCCTATTAATAGTACTTCAGCCCTAGGCAGGTAGCTTGGCTGGTTAGAGCATCTCCAGATACACCAAGATTGAGGGTTCAATCCCTCACTGGGGCACATTAAAAAAAAAAAAACAACCAATGAATGCATAAATGAGTGGAACAACAGCAACAACAAAAACAGTACTTCACACCTTCATCAGCAGCTATCATCCTGGGGAAGGCTTCTAACAGCTAGCTAGGAGCAAGGCCCTGAGGAGAGACAGAAATTGAAAGAGGGAGCCAAAAAATACCAAAGAAAAATATCTGAATTATATTTCAATTAGGTGAATACATTTCAGGGATTTATGTACATTTCTGCCTCCCGTAAGAGAGTGTGCTTTCCTAAAGAATAGGTACAATGTCTCATCCATTTTTATAAATCAGTATACGGTGCCTTGCCCAACACAACATAGGTGCTTAATACAGACTTGTTAAATGATTATATGAATGAATGACAGCCAATCAAGAATCACTATTTTACTAGCTCTAAGTGTGATCCCTTTATCCCATCCTGCTATAGTGTATTTTGTTTTTGCATATCTAATATGGAGAATTAGCAGCCCACTTTTACCTGTGAACTTCACTATCTTTGAGTTCTTAGAGATGTTATTTATACTCTGGTGAGTTAATACCTACTTGCAAATTATGTTTTCTTCTTTTCATTACTTCGAACTATTTCTCCTTCAGAAACCCATCCTTGACTTTTGCAATAACTTAAAATGAAGAGTGTTTACCACATCTTTGAGGAATTTCAAAATTCTTAAGATCACCTTTGCATCATTTCCATCTTGTCATATGTGACTTTAGGTGCCAAGGTCATTATAATTGGCAATGTCCTTTGCAAAAAAAAAACCTGTTCATATGTTAGGGTTGGGGTTAGCTTTGTAGTTTAAAATATGACCTGACAGTGAAGGAAAATATTTTAAGCTAGAACTGGCCTAGATATATCAGCAGACATGTTAGGGACATTTCACAACTTAGGAAAACCTGCTTCTGGTTTCTGATGACCTCTCATTAAAAAAAATTATATGTACACAAATATATACATATGTAATTATCTATAAATATTGTGAAGTAGCCCTTTTGATAATAACTTATTTCCTTTTCCTCCATTTTCTATTGTAAACTTCTGTTACGTGCATTGGAAATTTATGAAGTCTTTGTAAAAGCCCTCTGCATTCATGACTTGATAGTTTTCTGTAATGGTATGCTTGGATTCCTTTCCCTTTATTTTTTGTGTATCTACTGTAAGGTTTTGCTTAGTGGTTACCATAAGACTTATATAATCCATCTTTGGGTTATAACAGTCCATTTTAAGCTGGTAACAACTTTACTTCAAACCTATACAAAAGTTCTACATTTCATACTCCCTCTCTCCATGTTTTATGTTTTTGATGTCATAATTTATATACACCCTTTTATATTGTGTATCCATTAACAAGGTATTATCATTATAGTTATTATTAATTCCTGTCTTTTAATCTTTATTTAGAGCTAAAAGTGATTACCCACCACTATTATAATATCAGTATTCTGAATTTAATGATATATTTACCTTTACAAGTGAGTTTTATACTTTCTTTTTTAAATATTTATTTATTTATTTTTAGAGAGGGAAGGGAGGGAGAAAGAGAGAGAGAGAGAAACATCAATGTGCAGTTGCTGGGGGTCATGGCCTGCAACCCAGGCTTGTACCTTGACTGGGAATCGAACCTGCGACAATTTGGGTCACAGCCCGCGCTCAATCCACTGAGCTACATCAGCCAGGGCTTAGTTTTATACTTTCATATGTTTTCATTTTAGTTATTATCATCCTTTTGTTTCAGTTTGAAGAACACCCTTTAATATTTCTTATAAGGTTCGTCTGGTGGTGATGAATTCCTTCAGCTTCTGTTTGTCTAGAAATCTTTATCTCTTTTTCAATTCTGAAGGACAACTTTGTTAGGCAGAATATTCTTGGTTGGTAGCTTTTTTTCTTTCAGCACTTGAATATATCATCCCACTCCCTTGTAGCCTACAAAGTCTCTGCTGAAATATCTGCTCACATATACAAATCTCATTGGCTTTCAGAGCTGGATATTTTGTGACTTGACCATCAAGTGGGACCTTAAAAGTTGGGATGCTAGATGTACAGTCCAAACCCTTCACCCCTCAGGAGAGGGTTCACTCAATTATACGGCTTTGCTTTAAGGGTGAAATGTATGGTGAGAATACGTCTCCATCTCTCCATCCATTTCCATGTCAGTATTTTCTCATTTGACTGATGTGTAGGAGTCACCCAGTTAGTTTTGGGATTTCTATGAGGTGGAATAGCTCTAGGTGACTGGGGGAAGAGGGAAGTTTAGATTCCTAGGTCACCATCTTGGTCCCCTGTCTAAATTTGTATGTTATTAATTTTTAAAAGCATTACTTAAATCACAAGAAAGTGTGGAGGGATCTGTTTGCTTGTTTTTGTAGAAGATAATAAGTTAATTAAAAAATACATATAAAAATGGCAACTGTGGAAATGGAAACCACCCCTGCTCCTAGTCCCCCACCTACAGAAGAAGAGAAAACAGAATCTAACCAGGAGGTTGCTAACCCAGACCACTATATTAAACATCCTTTACAGAACAGATGGGCACTCTGGTTTTTTAAAAATGATAAAAGCAAAACTTGGCAAGAAAACCTTCAGCTGATCTCTGAGTTTGATACTATTGAAGACTTTTGGGCTCTGTACAACCATATCCAGTTGTCTAGTAATTTAATTCCTGGCTGCGACTGCTCACTTTTTAAGGATGGTGTTAAGCCTATGTGGGAAGATGAGAAAAGCAAACGAGGAGAACGATGGTTAATTACATTAAGCAAACAGCATGGACAAAGTGTCAGTGGCTTTTGGCTACAGACACTGCTGGGCTTTATTGGAGAATCTTTTGATGACTACATGATGATGTATGTGGAGATGTTAATGTTAGAGCTAAAGGTGATAAGATAGCAATATGGACTACTGAATGGGAAAACAGAGATGCTGTTATGTGTGTAGGGAGGGTATACAAGGAAAGGTCAGGGCTTCCTCCAAAGATGACGATTGGTTATCAGTCCCATGCAGATACAGCTACTAAAAGCAGCACCACCACTCAAAATAGGTTTGCTGTTTAAGAAGACACCTTCCGAGTGTTCTCATAGGAGACTACACCAAGCAATTGAGATTTGAGATCTGAACCAAAGCCTCTTCAAAAGCAGAATGGACTGCTTTTACATTTGGTTTCCATATAAATGTTGCAAAGATGTAAGGGAATTTTCATTTCCCTTTGTCTTGTATTTCTGTGTTCATTTTTAAAAAACTTTTTGGCTAGAGTGTCCACTTACCCAGTCAAAGAATTACAGTACACATCATCCCCAGAATCCATAAATGTGTTTCTGGCCCACTCTGTAATAGCTTAGGCAAATTATCATTACCAACATTTTACCCATCCACAAAGTTGAAAAAGAACTTGTATTTCTATAACTTACAGGAAAAAAGTTCTGTTTATGTTCCATTGTGAGATGTGTAAATAATACCAATAATAAAGTCATGGAACATCACTTAAAAAAGAACAAAGTCTTACTATTTGTGCTCCATTATGTTGGGTGAAAAAAAGTAAAGGGATGGGGAAGTACAAATTGGCAGTTACAAAACAGTGATGGGGATGTAAAGTGCAGCACAGGGAAAATAGTCACTAACATTGTAATAGCTGAGTACGGTGCCAGGTGGGCACTAGAATTATCAGGGTGATCAATTTGTAAACTATATAAATGTCTAACCACTATGTTATACACCTGAAACTAATGTAAAATAATATTGAGTATCAGTTGTAATTAAAAATAATAATAAAACAAAATGTACCCATGGGGAAAAACTGAAATGTTATATAACAATGTAAAATGAAAAGTTAAAATCCTTCTGTATGTCCTGCCTACAACTACTCATGTCTTGGAAATCTTTCACAAGCGTCTTCTCAAGCACAGCCATTTTCCTTTCCTCCAAGTAGGTAATAGCTGTCCTGAATTTTGCATTTACTATTATCTTACTTTTTGTTTTAGTTTTATTGCACATGGATACATTTTAAACTATGTATTATTTAAATGTGTACACTTTAGAATGTACATACATGTTACATAATATCATACTTCATATATATTTTTAAAGAGTTTATTTATTTGTTTTTTAGAGAAGGAAGAGAGAGAGAGAGAGACATCAATGTGTAGTTGCTGGAGGCCGTGGCCTGCAACCCAGGCATGTACCCTGACTGGGAATCGAACCTGTGACACTACTTCATATATTTTGCAGTTTGTTTTTATCATTCAATATTATGCTTTTAAAATGTATGAATATCAGTGGGTAAAGTGAAGTTAAGCTCTTTGTTGCATAGTATTCCATTACACATTCTGCACTAATATACATGTGGTTATCAAACGTGTGAAATAGTGCTCACTTCAGCAGCACACATATACTAAATATCTGAAATATGGCTATTGTGAAAAGGAGAGAAAAATGTGGCAATGGTGACTGGGAAATTGAATTTTTTATTTTAATTAATTTAAATTTTAATAGTCACATGAGATTAACAGTGCAGTGCTGGTATAGACCTAGGAGTAGAATTGGCAGGTCCTATAACATATACATCTTCTATTTTAAGGCACCCTAACAAATTGCTTTATTCCCACCCACAGAGCATAGGAGTTCCTGTGGCTCTACTGACTCACAAACACTTCTATTGTCAATGAAATGTGAATCAGAACTATCTGAGGAGCTTCTAAACACACACACACACCCTTCCCATAGGAGTGGGAGGGTATGAATGCATGTATTTTCAAAAAGCTCATCAAGTGATTTTCTACTCACACGTTCCCTGGTAGCCTCAGGGCTATAGGCCTTTGGAGACATTAGACAAGGAAGGGTAAGCCCAACAGTTCTGTTTTAGAACAATGGCGAAATGAAGGATTAGGCTAGGGGAAACTAGATACCTAGAGGAAACCTGGTGAATGAGCTATCCCAATAGTGCAAACAAGGGTATGCAGATCCGCACTATGGTACTAGCTGTGGAGACAGATCTGGTAGCCAGGTCCATGCCACAAAAAAGGATCTTAACTCCTCAATCAAGTTTCTTAACTCAATATTGACAATAACCACTGATGTCCGCAGCTGGATAAGGGACACATTTCTAGGTCTACAACACAATAATTACATGGTCTTTTTGAAAAGATTTTACTTATTTATTTTTAGAGAGGGGGAAGGAAAGGAGAAAGAGAAAGAGAGAAACATCTGTGTGTGAAAGAAACATCGATTGGTTGCTTCTCACACATGCCCAACCTGGGGACCAGATCCCACAACCCAGGCAAGTGCCCTGACCAGAAACCAAACTAGTGACCTTTCCCTTTATAGGATGATGCCCAGCCAACTGAGCCACACTGGCCAGGGTAATAATTACATGTTCCTGCCTTGTGAAATTAGCAGGTGTCCCCACATAACTATTCCTTTCTCAATGTTCCATACACATTCTCTGAAGCACAGTAACTTCAGGAAAGACCTGACAAGGCCTTTATCTTCCAAGTCGCCCATTTTCCCTGAAAAGTACTTAGAACTCAGATTTAAAACCACTCATCTAGACAAGGTTGCTAAACAGGCACTTCTCCCCTAGTCTAGGCCTAACTGCCTCCCTGCCCGGAGCCCAGAAGACATACCCAGACAGGGGCAAAGCAGGACACTTGCTGTGACATCGTTGGCCACAGCCTCTCACCTGGGAGTGGTCACCTGTCATGAACCATATTCAAAACCAAGAACCAAGGTGTGGTCTGAGCTCCTTTAAGCTCAAGGGTTTCGGGGCTACTGGTGAGTGCCCAGAGAAGACTTCAGAAGAGCAGCATGGAAGGGGGGTGGCCCACTGGAGGTGGACTCCTCCTCTGCCTCGCTGTCAGCCTTCTGCTTCAAGGTAAGATGGGGCGAGAACAGGAAAAAATGGGAATGCTATTCTGGGCAAAACCCAGAAACTCTATTACTCTCCAGAACTAGAATGCAACCAAAACAGCTGGCTTAAACATTGCCTTTCTTTGTAGTATCTGTATTTTTGTTTCCTTTGGGGACAGATGAAAAACCCATTTCACTGATCAGTACACAGCCCCTCTCTCATTTGCCTGCATAGGCATCTACCAAACTGTCTGTCCTACCATTTTACCACAATTCCACCCCTTTATAATATCCAACAGCTCCTTTCTGCCAAAATATAATTACTGTGGCCCTGGCCGGTGTGGTTCAGTGGGTTAGGCATCACTCCACAAACCTGAAAGTCGCCAGTTGGATTCCCAATCAGGGCACATGCCCAGGTTGCGGAGCAGGTCCCTGGCTGGAGGTGTGCAAGAGGCAACCGATTAATATTTCTCACAATGATTCTCTCAATGATTCTCTCCCTCTCTTTCTCTCTCCATTTCCCTCTCTCTAAAAATAAATAAATAAAATATGTTTTTAAAAGATATAGTAACTGTGGACAGGGTAGCTTGGTCCTATTAACAATAACATAACTCCTTACCCATCTCACATGGGAAGACCTTGTAGAAGAAGTGCATGGAGGGAAAAGGACAACATTTGCTTCCCTTAGTATCTTTCTCCTTAGCTTGGACATGTACCTTATGAGTTAACCAACATGGGGAAAAGAGTGGAAGAGGCATGGGAAAGAACTTGCTAGGCTATAGTTATGGAATAACCACAGAGCCACCTGGGATTGTATTGCAGGTGAGATAGGCAAAAGGGCTTTTATATCTTATTGTATATCTTCACCATCCACATGGCGAATGATCACTGAAATCTTCTCAAAATGGTGATGGTGAAAATGGCTCCCACTGATCTTAGAGGAAGTCATTGAATTGGAGAAGGGCGAAGAACAAGCACACAGCAAGTAGTCAATAAATTCACATACAACTTCCTTAAGTCTCCATGTAGTTTACACTGCACTCATGTTTATGTCTCTCCAAACTTTTCCTTTCAGAAAATGGGAAAATATAAAAGTTGGAAGGGAAAATTGAAAAAACTTTAGGGAAATTTTGGTTAGTGTCTATGAGGAAGAATCATAATAGAGCTAGAGATAAAAAGGATGGTGGAACAAGAGCCAGACTTTAAGTGCATCAAAATGTTGCAACTGTGGAAGGAATAAGACTCCCCAGAGAGCCTATTTGCATACAGATTTGGGTAGTCTTTACATGGGAGCAAAAGCACAGGAAGAAAAGGATGAGCCCTGAGCCCTGAAAGGTCAGCTCACCACATCACCTTCCACCATTTGCCTAGCAGACCAGCGCATCCTCCCAGCCCTGGCCCTAAGAGCTTGGCCTTCAAGGAGGGGCACACATGCCTCACCCCATGTCCACATTTTGTTTCTCTGCTGAGAGGCTCTCAAACCCTGGCACGCTTTTCACTTAGGACACACAAAAACCCTACTCCCATCTCCTAAGGTCTCTGCTCTCTACAGGAAAGGCAAACACTTTCACCATCAACTGCTTGGGTTTTGACCAGCATGGGGTGGACCCTGTTGCCTTCCAGACTGTGTTTAAACAGAAGGACTTCCGTCCAGTTATCAATTACAGCATCCCCACTCAGGTCAACATCTCCTTCCCTCTGTCTGCCATCTTGGAAGTGGTGAGTTCTGACTACATTCTCTCCATAGGCTGCTAATAGGGAATAAGGAGTCTTTACCCTGCTAACCCAACTTCACACTGGTCCAGTGGTGAGCAATGAGTCCTCTGAATGGAGGTTGTACAAGTTAGATGTTCATCCCATGGGGTGGAGAGATATGAAGGAGAATGCTGCAGTGACATTTCTGAAGGGTACATTTGTCCTTGAGTCCTGCCCTTGTGGAAATATTCTATAAAGAACATATCCCCAGTAGGTCTCATACTGGCTTTTTCCCCCTACAACCTGCTTTTTGCTTACGAATGAAAAATTTTCATTCAACCTGCATTTTTCAGACCCACCTTTCTTTTGAAACTTGTGAATAAAAAGCTGAACAGTCATGTGGGACCATTTAGGAAACAAAGGCAAGAGTTAGATTAGGACCTGATCTCATGGCATTAATCATCCTGAGGCAGGAGATAGTCAGGAAGGAAGCTCCAGAGGCCCCACAGGGCTGAGGTAGAAAACATCTATACATGACAAAGACCCCCTAAGACGGGTTGTTCCTATTTTCTGGGATAACTCTGAATCATAGAATGCACCTGCGCGCTACCCCTGATTCATTATAATATCATTATAATGAAATAACATTGTGGGACTCCCTTCTCCAGTAGCTAATCAAGAAAGTCATGGGAAACCACACATGCGCAGTAGCTTTGAAATCCAACTCCTTGTACCTGAGCAGGAAAAGCCCGCTAAAGACTAGCAAGGGGGCTTCTGCCCCTATAAGAATAGAATCCCCCAGCCCACGTGTCCCTTTTCCTTCTCTGCTCAGAGTTGGCTCACTCCCATGTCCTGTGGTGTGTACTATCACTTAATAAACCTCCCCTCTTTCTTTATGCTATAAACTTTGTGTGTTTGGTTCAACTCTTTGTCCTCGATCACTAAGAACCTGGTTACCTGTGCACACCTGTGCACACCTGTGACAATCCTGGATGTTTTTTTTGTGTGTGTATGTGTGTGTGTCAGAATGCACAGCTTCAGCTGCTGATGTCATTTCTGTGGTTAAAGATGGTATGTAATGTCATCTTTCTTATCTTGCCTTCCTTTTTTTTTCTGGCTTTGCAAAAATCACATTTCTGGCTTTGCATTTGACAGTGCCCAAGAGAATAGAGGTATCTAACTAGAATGAGGCCAGTAGTTTTCTGGGCCACCAATCAACTTTGAAAGACAGATGGTAAATACAGGAAGAAGGGGGACAATACAGTTGGAAGCCCCCAAGGAAGCTTTAGGGCCCAAATATATGTAGCACCCAGCTTAAGATTTCCCTGAGTGGAAAATGAAAGCCAGTAAGATTGTGTTAGCTAGAGAAGGGAAGGCATTATTGTGAGGATAAGAAGACAAACCAGAGTTCAAAAGAAAGTGAGCTGGCGCGCTCCCCACTAGGGGGGGTGGCCATTTCGTCCCTACTTCCCCACAGAAACTAGTTTGTCTCTGTGCATGTTGTTTTTTCTCGCGTGTTTATTGTCGAGCCATCCACAGCGTTCTGTGGTCACTGTTGGCCGGGGACCCGCGCATCAGCTGGCACCCAACGTGGGGCAGCGATTTGGGACCACAGAGGTGGGAGCCCATTCGAGACCACTTGGAACCAGCGGCTACAAGCCATCGCTGTAGACAACGCAACAACTTCGGGTGGATTTGCAAGCTAACAGCCCAGGTAAGGGCCGACGACCCCGTACTCTTTCTCGGGCATGTCGTAGAATGCGTTGAATTTTCAGGGAAGTAGGTCTTTCTTTTCTAGGTCACTTCTCTCTTCGAGACCACCTATAATTGGGTAAATGATAATTTAATTCTGAAGTTTGGGGGAACAAACGATTTGCCTTGAAAAAAGTAATCAGGTGATTTGTTTTGGCCAATTAAAAATAAATAAAAGGAAGCTTTTTCTTTAAAAAAAAAAGAAGGAAGGTAAACATGGGTTGTAACTTATCTAAAGGGCAGAAATCTTTTCTGCGTATATTACAACAAGTTCTTAAAGAAGCAAAGTATAAGGTGAAAGAAAAGCATCTGGTTCAGCTTTTGCAATGTATAAGAAAATATTGTCCTTCATTTCCTGGTAGGGGACGTTAGACATTGATGTTTGGGAAAAAGTGGGTGAAAGGTTGAAATCTTTGCAAAACGGTTGTATATCTATTGGTGTACACACCTTTGTAACCTGGAGGCTTGTCAGGGATTCTCTCAAGTTCATTTGGGCAAAGAAAACAGCTAGACGAGGAGGAATCTGATTCTGACAGTGAAATGGTGTGCAAATTGAGTGAGCAGATCACAGAGGCCCCACCTTCACCCCCACAGAGAAGGATGGATTTTGTTTTGTATCTGCTCTGAAAAGGAAATTGAGGATTCCAGGGAAGGTTGAAACTTCACACTCTAGGAATGTAAATGGGAAACTGTAAAGATAAATGGAAAAATAAAAGTTTTAGGAAAGAAGTTATGTGATGTTAGTTAATAATTGAAGGTATAAGGTATGGAAATGCAATCTTGGTGAATATCAGAAGGGGTATGAAAGAAAGATTAGAAGGTTTGTGAATGTTGCAGAAAGTCTGTGGAAGTAAACGTTTTAAGAAAGAATTATGTGGTGTGTGTTAGTAATGGAAGGTATAAGGCATGGAGATGCAATCTTGGTGGATATCAGAAAGTGTATGAAAAAGAATAGAGAGTTTGTGAATGTTTCGGAAGGTCTGTGGAAGTGAAAGTTTTCAGAAGCCTGGTAGATATCAGAAGGAAAAGGATTTTCCTTCACACTTTATATTTTCCTCCCTACCTGATCCCTCCAGAATTTGGCATTCTGAAGGAGTGAATGATGACATAAGGTTTGCATAAATCTAACAAGATCAGTCATTAATAGTGGTTATAATTTAATTGTGCCTTCCAACTCTTTCCAAATCTGTCATCTCCAGAATATGACCAGAAAATAAATGAATCCAAATGGCATTATAGCATTTAACAATGCACTGCCCTCCTTATGAGTCCAACAGTTTGTTAACACCTGGTTGCACTTATTGTTTAATCAGTGCTAGCTTCAGAATTAGTCCAACAGGCCCAAATAGATCAAGAGATCCTGAACCGCCTTTCTGCAGTTGAATCAGCACTGGACTGGACTGGCGAATGCCAGGACGCACTCGTGACTCGTCAGCACCTAACTTGTGACCCTGGTTTCTCCAGACTGTGCATCACACCGCTACAATGGAATTCCAGCCAACATACTTGGACTGATATACAACATCGCTTGAGGGGAGTTTTCTCCACTAACTTAAAAGGACAAAATGATAAATTGCAGTTGGAGTTACATCAGCAGCTGCAGGACATTCAACGTTTAACCAAACAGGACATTTTTCGAGCCCTTAATGAAAATATTAGTTGGCTGAATCCTAAAACATGGTTTGATGGAATTAATTTGAGAATTTGAGTTTTTGGAGCTGCTGGTTGTTTACTGATTGTAATATTGATTTGTGTACTTCGGTGTATTTGCAAATTGTTTTCCCAGGGTCATATCAGAGACCAGCAAGTAGCCACCTTTATGGAACCCTTAGCAGTCCTAACTGAAAACAAGGGAGAAGATATGAAAAACCACTCTGGCAGACGTAAAATTAAAACTCAACACCCATGTAAGAAAGTAAGTGATGAGTCGGTGCGCAGAACTGCACCTGTTAAGAAATCCTCTCATAAGAAGTCAGGCTTGCATTATGCTCAAACTGCCATATGATTTGCCTTTCCTGATATCTATGTAATTTCTCCCAAAGATTGAAATGTAATCAGACCTATTACTTTTGTTTTTCCCTTAATATGTTTTCTTACACTGAATTTAGAAATGTAGGTATTCACAACCCATAGAATTTAGTTGCTGTTTTAATTTCTATTATTGCCTTATGATGTATGTAGATGTTGCTTTTCTTCTGATTTGCATTCGGAAACAACAAAAGTAGGTTTCACAGGCTTAACAACCACAATTGATTTTAAAAACTAAAAAAGGGGGAGATGTTGGGAACCGCCCTGACTGGTATCAGGAGCTGAAACCCCTACCTAGGCTAAGGCTAAGGGAACGCCCTTGGAACCGTAAGCCAGCAAGGAGACAAAAGCTTATCTCCCTGGCAGGAATGCTGCTTCTGCTGCTTTATTCATAACTGAACCCCCAAAAAGCTTGGTCGGTTAGCCAAAGACGGGTAAGATTCCCCAAGGGGGGGAAACAACCTAAGACAGGCACGATCACTTTGGGAGGCCCCCCAAAAGAGGGACTTGGGGGGCTGCAGCAAAAGGGGGTGATGGACCCTCGCTCCTCTGCTTTGACATAGCCTGAGTTCTCATCGTCTGGGAGAAAAATCTCCTTATCTCTTGGTTGCCTTAGTTCCCTTGCTCCACCTAAGCCTGAAACAATGACAGGGTGGTGCAGCTCTGTGCTGAAAAGGGCGGATTCCCCAGGTGATCAGGCCTAAGAAAGAATATGTAAATTACTGTGAAACCTTCTTTGTTTAGAATGCTCTCAGTTGAATGAAAGGGGTCCAAGGAGGAAGTTAGTTTGTTCCTCAAAGTCTTACAGCTCTTTGACACCGACTCAAAATAGACCTGCAGAGTTCCTTGTTCTCTATGGTTCCTTACTTCCCCCTAATGAGTATTGTACTTTACCTGAATTATTATGCAAAATGAGCCTAATAAAAGCAGGTATGGATGGTAAATCAGCGTGCTCCCCATTAGGGGGGTGGCCATTTCGTCCCTACTTCTCCACAGGAAAAAAAAAAAGTGAGCTAAAAAAAACAGCATACATAACAACGTGTATAGTATGATCCTGTCTGTGTAAATAAAAATGAATGTTGGAATATGTATTAATCTTTTTCTAGAATGATACGTAAGAAATTATTAATAATAGAACTGAGCTGGGGATATGAACAGAGCCAGAATGAACTGAGAAGGAAAAAGATTGCTTTTTATATTATAACTTTCCAGAATGATTGAATTTTTATCAAATACCCATAGTACATACATTTAGAAAAATACATACATATGTATATATTTTTAAGGGAATGGAAGGGCAGGGGATGCTAACATAAACTAGTTCCAGGTTTCAGCCATAACCATCCCTCTGTGCCCTGTGCTTTAGACCTGGAATAACCCATTCATCAGCTGGGACCCAGAAGAATGCAGTCATATCAATACACTCACGGTGACAACTGAGAACCTGTGGCTTCCAGACATCTTCATCGTGGAATCGTGGGTATCAGGGCTGGGGAAGCTGGAGGCAACACCTTTTTGCAAGGAGCAGACCCGGTCTGCTGGGCAGTGCAGGGCAAACCCTTTCCATGCAGCCACTAAAAACTTATTTCAGGGAGGAGTACAATCACAGCTCATCAGCTTCCCCCCAGGACTGGAAAAGTGGTGAGCACAAAAGATGGCAGAGTGGCCATCACAAGTGACACTGGGAAGCCTTACCTTAAGAGAGAAACTTAAACTGATATGAAACCAGAACCTTTACTTCCCTCCCTTCCTGCCGCCTTAGCATGGATGTGGATCAGACCCTGGAAGGCCTCTCAGTGTATGTGACTAATGACGGGCACATTGTGTATAGCAAACCAATGCAGGTGACCAGCATCTGCAGCCTGGACATCTTCTACTTCCCCTTTGACTAGCAGAACTGCACACTCACCTTTGGCTCTGTCCTCTACACAGGTGAGTGGCAGTGAGGGTTTCAGTTTGAGGTAAAATGAGATCAATTAGTGGGGTAGCAAAAAAGTACACACAGCCAGAGTCATTTTAACACATAAAAATGGGACAGTCGAGTATTTGCTGACTGGAATGATGTGGATGGTGAGGTGGGGAACTTAGGAAAGGATAAGACTTCCTGAGAAAGCCCAGAATGAAAAGCAGGCAATTGAACAGCAAGGAAGTGATGCCTTAGGGCACTCTGAAAAAGGTAGCTAAATCAGTTTTCTAATTCATCTCTCTGAGCCCCGCACAAGTCAGGACTGAAAGTGGGTTGAATGAAAATTTGTCTCCCCTGCAGTGGAAAACATGTTGCTGGGCATGGAAAAGGAAGTGTGGGAAATAGTGGACACCTCACGTGACATTGTCCGCACACAAGGGCAGTGGGACCTCCTGAGCATCAACAAGGCCACCCCGAAGATGAATGTGAGCTCCAGTCTTTTTGACCAGATCATGTTCTATATAAGCCCAAAGACTCTGGCACAATATCCATCCCCAGATCTCCATCTTTAGACCCTTCTGAGGCCCACAGCCTCTTGCTTCTTGCTCCAAGACCAGGAAGCCCCTGGACACCATACCCCTCAGCCTTCCTTTCTCCTGAGTTCCCCAAATCAGCCCCCTTTCTGAGCCTGTCAACTCTGGCCTTGGTTTTCTTTGGCGGGCATAGGGGAATCTCTTTCTTTAAGATTGTATTTATTTATTTATTTTTAGATAGGGGGAAGGGAAGGAGAAACAGAGAGAGAAACATCAATGTGAGTGAGGAACACCAACCGGTTGCCTCTCATACATACCCCAACCAGGGACCGAACCTGCAACCCGGGCGTGTGCCCTGACCAGGAATAAAACCTGAGACATTTTGCTTTGCATACAACACCCAACCAACTGAGCCATACCAGTTAGGGCGGTATGGGGAGTCTTGTTAGTCATATGTAAGCTGCTCCTCATCATCAAGTCCCAGAAATAGCTCCTGCTGCAATGAGACACTAAGAAAGTAAGAAGCTGGAGCATCCTTAGGTCTCCCTTAAGTCTCCTAGCTTCACCTGGCTCTCTGCTCTCTTCCCCACCAGGTGGCCATCAGGCGCAGGCCTGGACTCTATGTCATAAACCTTCTGGTGCCCAGTAGCTTTCTGGTTGCCATCGATGCCCTCAGCTTCTACCTGCCAGCAGAAAGTGGGAACCGCGCCCCATTCAAGATGACCCTTCTGCTGGGCTACAACGTCTTCCTGCTCATGATGAATAAACTACTCCCTGCCAGTGGCACCCCTCTTATCAGTATGTACCCTCTTCCCCAACTATTGGACAATGAAAAGAAGGAAAAAAAGGAGGCAGGGTAGGCAGGTGACCTGGCTAGAGCTGCTGAGCAAATAAGGCAAAAAGAAGAAAGGAATCATCTCAGAAGGGCTCTCTGTGTGAGACGGAGCAAAGGAGGAAGAGGGGTCGGTAGTTTTCTGGATTTGCCTCACTCTGGTGTGCTCATTACCCCTGCCCCAGGTGTCTACTTTGCCCTTTGCCTGTTGCTGATGGTGCTCAGCCTACTGGAGACCATCTTCATCACCTACATACTGCACCTGTCCACCACCCAGCCCCACCCATGCCCCGGTGGCTACACTCTGCTCCTCTACTGCACCAGCCCAATGAAATGCTGCCCCACTGCACTCTGGAAGGAGAATGTGGGCTCAGGGCTCACCCCCACTCACATGCCAGGTAAGGGAGGTCAGCACTGCCCATACTTTCTCAACTTCCACAACACCCCACTTCTCTAATTATGTTTCCTTCCCACTTTATGGCAAGTATCTGTCTTCTCCACAGGCCTGAAAGAGCCCAGGGAATTGGTGGGGAAGAAGCTGGAACCCAGAGAGGCAGAGTTACACGGGAGCTCAGGATTGACATGGGCCCAACCAACTGACCTGTGGGTACAGTTCAGCCACACGATGGACACCTTCCTCTTCCACCTCTACCTGCTCTTCTTGGCCTCCTCTATCATCACTGTCATTGTCCTCTAGAACACCTAGGAGCTGAGATCTAATGTGCCAGAGCGCCCTGGTGTTCGGGCTTCCTCAGCCTCGGCTGACCTTCCCAGACCTTGCTGTTTCGCCTGTGCAGTCCCAAATGCACCCGTGACCCCTGTCCAGGCCTCCCTGCTCCAGTCACTGCTGACTCTCTCAAAAAAAGGAAACCAACCCTGCCCCCCAACAGAATGGAAAATAGTACAGATACTTTAGAAAACAGTTTGGCAGCTCCTCAAAGTGTTGAACATAGAGTTACTATATCACCTAGCAATTCCATTCCTAGTATAAACCCAAGACAAATAATAACATATGTTCACACGAAAATTTGTACTCAAATTTAGCAGCATTATTCATGATAGCTAAAAGATGGAAAGAAACCAAATGTCTATTAACTGATGAATGGATTAAATAAAATGTTATATATCCATAAAATGGAATATCATTCTGATATAAAAAGAAATGAAGCACTAGTACATGCTAAAACATGGATGCAAGTTGAAAATGTGACAAAAATCTAGTCACAAAAGACCACATATTATACAATCGCACTTATATGAACTGTTCAGAATATGCTAATCATAGCTATAGAAAGTAAAGTAGTGGTTTCCTAGGCCTTGGTGGAGAAAGGGGCAGGTGAATGAGTAATGATTAATAATAGTTACAAGATTGGAAGTGATAAAAATGTTCTAAAATTAGCCCTGGCTGGTGCAGCTCAGTGTATTGAGTGCCGGCCCGTGGACCCAAGAGTTGCCAGGTTGATTCCCAGTCGGGGCACATGCCTGGGTTGTGGGCCCAGTCCCCAGCCGGGAGTGTGAGAGAAGCAACTGATCGCTGTTTCTCTCACACATCATGTTTCTGTCTCTCCTTTCCCCTCTCTCTAAAAGTAAATAAATAAAATCTTTTCAACCAATGTTCTAAAATTAGATCATGGTGATGATTACATAACTCTGTATTAAATATACTAAAAACCACTGAATGGATAAATTTTCTGGTATGTAAATTATATCTCAATAAAGCTGTTAAACAACAAGAAAAAAAATAAATGACCCCACTGCAAAATTCTCTCCGCCCACCACTCCCCACTTGCTTATTTTCTCATTCCACTGCTCCCCACTGCCATCTCCTCGACTCTGGTTCCCGGATCCGTATACCCAACTTCCATTGTGTTTGCCCCTGCCGTCCTCCACCATCCATGACTCCCAAGCGGCCCAACTGGACCTCGGATCCCCACTCACCTGTCAGGTTTTCACGCTTCCCTTCATCACCACAGCTTCAGTTCAGACACAGCTTCCACCACTTCTAACTAAATGAAACTGTCACAGCCAGACCAGTTCAGGGCTCCTTAACAGAAGGTGGCGATTCAGACATTATACCTAAGACAGTAGTTCCCAGAGCCTTGAACTATTTTGCATGGGGATGGGGGAGTTTGGGGAGTGCAGTGAGTAATAGCAGCCCTGCTTCACTTTCTGCAAGTGAAGGTGAAATACAGAGCTGGGGTAGCTGATGCCCGCACTGTTTGGAGGGCAGGTGAAGGTCCTGTGTGTGTAACACGCCATCAGGCTTAAGTGAGACCTTCTGCTTCTACAGGCAGTCTAGTCATCTGGCTCCCAGAATAGCAACATGGAATGAATAAATGAGCAAGTCATTCATTCATTAATTCATTTATCCAATCTTTACTAAGTGCTTACTTATAAAGTAGACTTTTTTTCCCTGAATGCTGTGGAAATGGCAATGAATAAGACATATGGGAGGAAACTGATTTTCTAAAATAACAAATTAAATAAGATGATTCATATACTGACAATTGTGCTGAAGAAAATAAAAAAGGGTAATAGGACAGAGAATGACACACAGATTAACAGGATGTTCCAGGAAGGCCTCTCTGAGAAAGTGACATTCGTGCCAGCCCAGAAATGAATGATGAGATGAGGATGAGATAGGCCCTGGGCTGTCACACTGCTATACCCATGAGGGAGGGTAGGGTGACTGACAGTACCAGGCACTACATTTATAGAAGCCATCAGAGTAGCCAGAATCCTGGATGAGTGAGGTGAGAAGCTGGAGGGAGAGTCCCATGTTGGTTATTGGTTGCTATTGTGTAATGTTTAAGAATTGTGAGGGTAAGCACTTATAGTCTACCCAGAGCATTTAGAACAGTATCCTTCAAACAGTTTTGATCACAGAATCTACTTTATTCATCCATGCATACTGCTTCACTCAAAAAAGAACCGGTGATAACATAGACTTACAAAGAGACAAAATTAAAAGTAGCAACAAACATTGCTAGAATTACATACGGATTTGCTTACTAGATACTATAGAAGAGAATATGAGTTTACACATGTCTTTTTAATTATAAAACAATGCCAGAAAACTTTAAATAAGTAATGTTTTTATTACACTTATCTTGACATTATATTACAAGTTATTCAACTAGCTTGTACTCTCTGAAAGTATATCACCAATGTAATGTCACTACACAAGCAGATTTGGGGGAGTTTTATACATCCCCCAAAGAAATAGAGACCCAACCACAATACTAAATAGAGAGCCAACCACAAAGCAAAACTACTTTTGATGAAAATATGGGTCACAGCACCCTAACAGAGAATCAGACAAGCCACATGACATTAAATAGATGATGGATAACTAAACAAAGCTAGCAGTTTATTATTAAAGAGCATGCACAGCACCTCAGGGCAATGCTGTTGATGCACTAATTACAAAAGCCCTGGCAATAGAGAGAATTCCGGCCTTCCCCATGTCTGCTTGCAGTCAATTTAGTGACATTCCCAGAGGCTACAGGATCTCAGTACAATGCCAAGTTTGAATCTTGAGGACACTTGGGTAATACGCAAATTTTGGTGTACTGTTGCCCCATTTTAGCAATCCTGAATTAGCATGTTAGTATTAGGTAAAGCTAAAAGAAGTGAAGAAAGGACTTCCTTCAGCCCTTCCAGAGGCCCTTACTGCCCTCTAGTGGGGACCCTACTCAGGCCTCCCTGAGACCGTTAGTGACCTTAGGATCTGTGCAAACCAGTATACTATGCATCGTGTACCTACCTTATCCATGTATCCCCAACTAAAATTTGGACACATTGTCAGTTTTCTTTTTTTTCTGATTTGTAAAATCATTTCTTTGAATAGCGTTTTAAAAATCTATAAATACCATTACATTCATAGATTTAGTGACTTGCCTTTATTAAAAAACTAAGTGACATGAACAGAAATATGAAAGCTGCAAAGAAAACAAAGAACACATAACAAATAACATGCACCTGTAATTTCCATCATTGACCTACTGTTGAAGCTGATGAGTTGATGGGCTATATTTCCATTAATCCTTGCTGTGCAAGAATGCTTCCCGTTTGAGAAGCAGTGGGTCCACATTAAAAGAGATATGTGAGGGCTTCTGCCGCAGCAGTCATGAAAGGTTGTTAGGCTAGGCTTTTCCTTGGCTCGCACATAGATAAGTTGTTTTGATAATAGTAGCCATCACTTACTGAGTACATACTTCCTATATTCAAAGTTCATTACATTCATTATCTCATTTGATCCTCACAGCAATTCTATAAGGTGGATTTTTTTATTTTAATTGTTGTTCAAGTACAGTTTTCTGCCTTTTACTCCCATCCCAGCCCACCCCACCTCCCTCCCGTTTCCACCCGCCCCTTGTTTCTGTCCATGTGTCTTTTATACTTGTTCCTGGAAATCCTTCCCCTTTTCCCCTGAAATTCCCTCCCCTCACCCCTCTGGTCACTGTCAGTCTGTTCTCTATTTCAGTGTCTTTGGTTATATTTTGCTTGTTTGTTTGTTTTGTTGACTAGGTTCTTGTTAAAGGTGAGATCATATGGTATCTGTCCCCCACCACCTGGCTTATTTCACTTAGCATAATGCTCTCCAGTTCCATCCATGCTGTCGCAAAGGGCAGGAGCTTCTTCTTTCTTTCTGTTGCATAGAATTCCATTGTGTAAATGCACCATAGTTTTTTGATCCATTCATTTACTGATGGACACTTAGGTTGCTTCCAACACTTGGCTATTGTAAATTGTGCTGCTATGAACATTGGGGTGCATAGGTTCTTTTGGATTGGTGTTTCAGGGTTCTTAGGATATAATCCTAGCAGTGGAATTGCTGGGTCAAAAGGCAGATCCATTTTTAGTTTTCTGAGAAAATTCCATACTGTTTTCCACAGTGGTTGTCTATAAGGTGGATTTTAACATTATTCCCAGTTTACAGGTAAAGATGCCAAAGAAGAAAGAGGTTAAGATCCTTCCCCAGGATCACATGGCAAGTAAGTTGTGGGACCATTTTGAACCCAGTTTTGTCTAATTCTTCATCTCATATTTTACCACATTCAGATCATTGCCAAGGAATGCAGAAATAATAATTCTTGAATATGAAAAACTAAGCATTGAACTGAAGTCCAGAATAATCTCTGGCAAGGATTCTCCCACACTATTCTGTTTGATAGCTCTTAATCTCAGGGTGTTACTCTTCACAGTGGCCACCTTCAGTGCAGTGCCTCTCACTGGGACCCTCACACACACACACATGCACACACATGCACACAAATGCACACAGAACTGCTGAAATCTGAATGAGCTCTAGGTAGTATGCTGTTCAAAGACAATTTAAAAAAAAAGACAAAGTCATGACTCATATAAATATATATAAAAGACTTGACTGGACTCACACACTGTATGAGAGAACAGAAGGCTGTGATAACTGGTGCAAAGGAAAAGTCAAGAACCACAAACATACATGGAGTAAAGATAGTGAGTTGTGAATAGAGGCAATTTTTCCACAGGAGGACAAGATAGAGTTGGCATGTCCTTGATGTTAAACTTTACCTGAGCCTTATGTCCCCAGAAAGCCATGATGGTTAAGAAATCTCCCCAGTCATTTGCTCTCTGAACTACCCCCCACCCTTTTGTGTCCCAGCACATGGCTGACTTCGAAGAGCCGCCTGTCCGCATAGGACTTGGACAAGACCCAGTGCC